ACCAGGTGTTTTTTTCATTGGTGTACACCTGGTTTCCCAAAATCGCTGGTCCAATTTTAAACAGTGGGATGCGAGCAAAATCGATGGCTTCAAGAATTTACTTATTTGATGGTGAATAGTTTGGGGAACCATCAATTTCATGGCCTCAAATGGTGAAACGGATTGCAGTAGCACCCCCGGCTATCATCCAATAAATTGCAATTGCAGACAACCTGGCAGGTTTTTGATCTCCTACAGACAGTTGAACTCTCCCCCAAAAAAACTCAAACTCAAAATGTGTACTTTGGGATGGTCCCCAACCCTATCGCCAGGAGAACAGATTTTTAGCACTGGCCCTTACTGGCCCTTATATCTTTGATTTTTTTTGGGTGAACCAACAGAATTTATGATATAATATCAGTGATATATCCGGTGAACAGTGGGATTGCTATTGAACAAGATTACAAACCAGAGATCAGAAGAACAACCCCAGGTAATTTGCAAATTCATCGTTGCTATCCATACCCTCCCAGGACTTCACAATTTACTGGTAGAATCCTGATGTTTCTCGGTGACTATTGACTGTGCACTACCCTCCGGTAAACTATCATAGCTATTGAAACTCACCATTTTGAATAGGTAAATCAACTATAAATGGTACATGTTCAATAGCTATGTTAAATTACCAGAGGGTAATCACATTTTTCTTGATGAACCCCCAGTTATTACCTCTGTTTCATGTCCCAGGCGAGATGTATGGCGCTCCGTTGTGAGCTTAGAGGATGTCAGGTTGGTTTCCCAAAGAATTTTCACATGTGTGCTATGGTATACAGACATATAAATGGTCCATAATGGTACATTTTCGATGATTTACCCATGACACATGGTGATTATAGTTATGTTAAATTACGAGAGGGTAGAGGACATTATTGTTTTCATCAATGGTGGTTTTTCAAAAATCACATGTTTTTCAACCTTTGCAGTTTGTATGGGTCTAGAGTCTAAGTGTCGATCGTGCAAGCCCACTCAATAGAGAATGTTTTCTGTCCTTACCATCACTGTTTCTGGGGCTGGTTGAGAATCGTTTCAGAATCATCTCAGAATCGTTTCAGAATCATCTCAGAATCGTTTCAGAATCATCTCAGAATCGTTTCAGAATCATTTCAGAATCATCTCAGAATCATCTCAGAATCATCTCAGAATCGTTTCAGAATCATCTCAGAATCGTTTGAGAATCATCTCAGAATCGTTTCAGAATCGTTTCAGAATCATCTCAGAATCATCTCAGAATCATCTCAGAATCGTTTCAGAATCATCTCAGAATCGTTTGAGAATCATCTCAGAATCGTTTCAGAATCGTTTCAGAATCATCTCAGAATCATCTCAGAATCGTTTCAGAATCATCTCAGAATCGTTTGAGAATCATCTCAGAATCATCTCAGAATCGTTTCAGAATCGTTTCAGAATCATCTCAGAATCGTTTCAGAATCATCTCAGAATCGTTTGAGAATCATCTCAGAATCGTTTCAGAATCATCTCAGAATCATTTCAGAATCATCTTAGAATCATCTCAGAATCATCTCAGAATCATTTCAGAATCATCTTAGAATTATATATCTTGGAATCTTTTTTTGAACGCAAACTTCCTTTGGTCAGAGCCTTTTTGTTGCCTCCCCAGGTCCCTGCCGGTCTCCCAGCGCTGCAAGATGTGGCGCTGGAAGGCCTCGCAGAGAAATTTCGGCGAAAAAATGGTGCTGGTGGTGGGGGGGTTTTGGATGGGTCAGGTTGGGACGTAGATATGATACTGGTTGGTGGTTCGGAACATTTTTTATTTTTCCATATATTGGGAATAATCATCCCAACTGATTAATATTTTTCAGAGGGGTTGAATCCACCAACCAGGATAACTTTCTATAAAATATATAAATATCCCATGATATTCATAGCCCCAAACCTCCACCAATACGCCCACAGTGCTAGGTGTTTCAAGGAATTCTATCTCCATTTTCAAACATACCTGGCACATATGGAGGTTTCCTAAGTCATGGGGGTATCCCCAAATCATCCATTTTAGTAGGAGTTTCCATGAAATAAGCCATCCAGCTATTGGGATAGCCACATTTATGGAAACCTCCATATCGGGTATCATTAGATTTTTATAGATAAGTTCCACTATTAACCACTATTAACCATGGTTAAACCCCATTAAACCACCATTAAACCACCATTTTCCTATGGTTTATCTGGCAAATATCATGATTTATCCAATAAGACTATAGAAATCATAGATGGAAACCTCCATATCCTCAATCTTCTTTGTGAAACCCCCTTTTTTGTGTCCCACGTGGAAACGACCAAGGCCAACACGGCTGAAGAGATCAACAGCTACCAGCAGCAGATGGAACCGCCCGGGGGTCCAAGAAGCTGTGGAGCCAGGATGATGGGAAAATAGGAAAAAAGCATGGTTTCCTGTAAGAATTCCTGGATATTGATAATATAAAATCATGGTTTCCGGTTTAAGATTTAATTGGATGATAGTAAAAAAAACATGGTTTCCGGTTAAGATTTTTTCCTGAAACCAATCCATTGGATTTGAATGGGATTTCATGAGAAGTATAAATGGCATTCATGAGGATTTATGGGGATTTCATGGGATTTACCCTCTTAGGTAATTTGAACCGAGTTTTTTGAACTAAGAACATGGATGAAACTTGGATTTGAAGAGCAGCCACAGTAGCCGCAGCCGTCAGAAATGTTTCTGAAGGGGACTTGAAACTGCCTTATGCCAGCATTGAAATTGGGAGGGGAACCACAAGAATTTGGCACTTGAACCAACTAGCATGGCAAATACCCTCTGGTAATTTGTTACATAGCTATTGAACATGGCCATAGAAATGGCTGATTTACCTATTAAAAATGGTGGATCTTTCCACAGTTTTGTGTATGTTTACCTGGCAAATATCTAAAATCTCTTGACTCATCATCTGAATGGGGCTCCGTAGTCTCGATGATTATCATAGCTCCACTGAATGGGGCCTATTCAGGGCCCATGTGTTGCCCGTTCCAAAAGTTGAGCATGAACCAGTATAGGAACCCCTGAAAAGGACAGACATGTGTCAGTATGTCCCATATGTGCCATGTATAGTATGTATGTATATATATTATATATACACAATATATATATATATATATACATATGTATGTATGTACCTACATTTGGGTTATTTATGGTGTAAATGTTGGTAAATATTCCATGGAACATCTGGGTAGGTTGAATGCCAAGTTTCTACGGTTTATCGGTGTATCCCTTATGTTTATGCATGTTTATCCTATCTAAACATATCATTATAGCATATTATAGCCTATTATAGCCATTCTGCAACCATAGTCCTCTCGTCTTTTTAAAGGGACCCAACGCAGCAATGGTTGCGTCAATTCCTGTGTCAGGTTCCTACAAGCCTTGGACGTCCGCCGACAGTTGGAGTCGGGGGCTCGTCAGAGTGGCCGCCATGAATACATCAGAGCCTAATTTGGGGTTTAATGGGGTTTAACCATGGTTAATAATGGTTAATCATGGCTGATAATGCTTAATGACTGGTTGAATAATATAGAACACAAGGTAACCTCTGGTAAACGTTTACATAACATATGGAAAATCACCATATTTTTAATCGGAAAACTCACTATGAATGGCAATTTTCAATAGCTACGTTAAATTACCAGAGGGTACCCCTTGAATAATCCATTATAGTTATAGATATGAAGAAACCCTATAGTTATAGATCCATTATATGTTATAGATAGTTTATATAATCCATATCATCTATAAATGTCATCTATCTGGGTAAATTATAGCGACCTCACTGCGACGGAAACCTGGGAATCAAGGTTAGGATTTGGGAAATCATTCCCAAATGGACGAACTATTCAGGTTAGTGAAATAATATAATTTACCCAGAAATCGGGGTACTGTACCCCAAAATAAATGGTTTTCGAATGGAACATCCTATCTAGAAATGGGTGATTTGGAGGTACCCCCATTTGAGGGGATCCCCATATATGTTTTATACCCTTATTACACATAGAATACACGCAGAATACATATATATATATATATGTATACACACACTATACTGTACATATAGACACCAACGACACGTGGATATCATTTGCATAGTGATTGGATGTGCTTTTCTGATTCTGTGGGAATGAAATGCAGTTGTCACTGCAGCTGGGACCATAGCCGATGATTGAGCATGCGACCAGGACAAAATACTGTAGCTTGTGGCATTGTCCTACCGGGGTTTGGTTTTAGAGGATTTAGATTCAGAGGGAACATCATCGATCCAAATGCGGGATTTCCAGTTGCTATGCTTGGATTACTGGAGGGTAACCAACCATTTTCTCAAGTTTGGCGAACCATTTCTGTCTCTGGCCAACTGGTACTTTGGAAGATGATCCACAGCAACTGATTTCCTCTTGAAAACACACATGGAAACTAATATGGAAACCCGTATTGCATATTTAATGGAAAAGAAAAGGAAAATAGATCATGATTTTTCTCAAATGTGACAATTATATATGGCAATTCAGTTGGGTTTCATATTTAGTTTTTAGGCATGTGTCATAGTGAGATGGCTGGGCTAAGCACCAATCATTGGTTCGCAATGCCTTCAGGAGCTCATGTGAACATATTCCATTCTTAGGTCTTACGTCTCGGAAATCATAGAGGATACAAGAGTTAAAATATGCGGATCCACCATAAAACACAAAGAATAATATTTTTCAGATACATAGTGGGGCACCTCATTGGATAGTCCCAAGAAATTGAGTTATTGTTTCTCACAAATAGCATGTGGCATGTGGATACAGAATTTCATGTGTCTACATGAACTGGTGGGGGAAATCACCCAACAACTGGTCCAAGATTCCATGGGAATTCCCAGTCTTTCCCAGTTTTTCCCTTGGGCAGGGGTGATTTTGAAACGTTTCTGCGACGCGTTGTCACACCTCTCAGCTTGTCTCCAGTGGGCCCCGGGCCAGAAACAGGCTCCTGCGCCATGGCGGCTGCTCTGCAAATGGTGCACTTTGAAGAGAAACTGCAGAGTCTTTATCGCAGCTATCGCATGAACTTAGAGCTGCGGAGAATGACACATTTGTGCCGCGTGCATTGTGCATGCTATATTCACGATATTTACCTGCATCATGTCTTTGACAAATGTCAGTAAATATGACATGTTTGTAGCCTGTGGGATATATCAGAATCATAATATACGTGTATACGTATATCATATATATATATATACTTACATATATATATATATATTCATGATATGTCTAGTGGAACCGAGAAAACACATGTGATACATTGGAATACCAACCAACACCTCGCTGATTTTGAAGTAGTATACAACCGACATCAACCGACAGCAATCGACAATGATCTGGGATGGTTTGCACAACAAAAAATGGACATGACCATCGCAGTGGGTACAACTGGAAGCAATGGCACGTTTCCAGCAGGATTGTCCTTGATGCAACTATAACAAAGTCCCAAAAGATAGACCCATAGTGCGGTCATAACCACATAACCACCTACCAATTAATTCTATGTGATTGAGTAACCACATAACCAGATAACCCATATACTAATCTCATTAATTCTTATTGTTCGTTGAGTACAAACCACAACCAGCCACCAACCAGCTGGATAGATACTGATAGGCAATGCCTATAGCGTGATGGGCGGCAAAGCATTGACTAACAAGAGATGGGAAGCGAGTCAAGAATACTGGCAGTGTAACATAAAACCATAGAAAAGATATGAACAGATCCAATTGATCCCTAGTTCTTTTCTTCCATCTTATTAATAGTGAAGGGTGCCACTATCAACCCATGGTGGTTTGGGCTAGAGGTTTAGAATTCCAGGTAGTAAACTCAGCTGACCTGTGAAATTCACAACTGATTTGCCAGGAAAGCCATGCAAGACGTGAAGCTGATCTTGGACTCTGAGAAATGCATGTCGCGCATGTCGCTGCCCCAAGAGACTCATCATACGTACCTCAGCTGGACGGCGATCTGGCAATGTTTTAATGTTTTAGCTCTCTATCCATTTCACCAGCCAGAAGGTGCCAGGCAGCAATCAGATAGAGTTCGCAATAATCATATATATATATATATACGTATAATATATATATAATATATAATATATACTATACACACATATCTCATATCTTATTCCCATGATCTCCATGGGAAATCTTCATTTTTGTCGGCCCCGGCTGGGGACTTGGCTGCCAGACTTCCCAGGTATGAAGACAAGTTTGGCCTGGTGGAGCGCTGCAGTGCGATGACCTTAGCCTCGCATTGGAATTGCTTCGAGCTTTTGGGGCTGACGCTGCTGTGGCGAAGAAGATGGCAGGGAGAAGGCTGTGCACTGTTCAAACGATTTCAAAAGCACCGTTTTTTCACGTTGATGATATTGTGGTCATGAAGAATGTTTGTGTTTAAAAACCATGTTTTACCATCACACTATGTGGTGATTTTTGTGGATATGAGTGATAAATGATGGTTGCTTGACGACGTTTCGGGTTTTGGCAGTGGTCAAGTCATTGGTATGGCTCAGGTGATGATTATATAAATGATATTTATATAAATATATAAATGGTGAAACAATCTGATCTATGATGCATTGTATTTGATATTTTTTGTACCCCAAAAACTGGATGAACACCCAAGGCATCCAAAGTGACTCAAACAATTGTGGTTCAGCGGGTCCGAGGAGTCCTGGCCCAAAGTTTGGTCCCCTTCTTTGGTGTTTTCAACAGCTTGTTTTGTGTTTTAAGAAGATCACAGAGACAACCAGCGTCACCATAGGTGACTATGCGGAATCATCATGATGAATCCTTTCCCCTTCCCCCTAAATTAAATACCCACCAAACGAAACCCTGGTTTATTCGGGGGCCCAGTGATGGGGGTATTGAATATTGCGGGTAAGCGAATTACTAATATGTACCAACCAAATCGTTGTTTGTTTCAGGCTTGCAATTTTCCCGGATCTTTATTATCTTATTCAAGCAGGTTTAATACTGTATTACATTCGCTAGATTGATCTATGTCAAACCCATATTTCCGATGACCAATACATTAAAATTGGCTATATTGATCCATGATAAACATCATTAAGCACTATATTAACCACCCATTTCTGATGTCCAAATCCGGGCTAATTGTGGGCCAACCGGCCAAGCTTCGGCCTCCCAGGAAGGAGGCCCTCTTGGAAGCCAAAGACTGGGCAGATGGAAATGCCGAGGACCGCAATGTTTTGAGACTGGGATATAGTTTGGGGTGATGATATATAGTAGATTGGGGATGATATTAACCCATGTCATGTCAAGTCATGTAACGTCATGTTATGCAATGTCATGTAATGCCATGTCATGTCATGTCAGTTTGATGATGATGATGATGATGATTGATGATTGATGATTGATAATTGATGATTGAGGATTGATGATGATGATGATGATGATGGATGATGGATGATGGATGATTGATGATGGATGATTGATGATTGATTATTGATGATTGATGATTGATGATTGATGATGACGCTGACGATGACGATGACAATGACAATGGCGATGGCGATGGCGATGACGATGACGATGACGATGGTGATGATGATGATGATGATGATGATGATGATGATGCTATTTCAGTTACCCCGTGGGACAGGGTACACTGTCCGTGTGCGCTATGTTGGTGTAAGTTGTTTTCCCTGACTGTCACGATGCGGTCTGAGGATCAAGTTCATGACCATCTCCTTACCACCAGTCAGTGGCTTCTAGCCATTTCTGCCCACGTTTTAACATCGTTTCCACCCACTTCCCCGAGCTTGACCCGATTTTTCCCGGTTATATTCACCTTCCAGCCTATTTTCAAACTGTCTCCTTTTTTTAAACCAAACATGTTTTTGGATCTTTTCCCAAACATGCTCCCAAACCTTTTGATTTTCCAACAATTCAAGGGGAATCCCGTTGAATATCCCAATTAAACCACCATTCAATCCACATTTTTGCTCTGCAAATTCCCATGAATTTCCCATTAAGAAACGACACATTTTCCCATGTTGGTGATGTTCCAATATTTAACGGTGAATTCCATGGAATTTCTCACCAGTAAGTCACCAATAATCCTCCTTTTTCCAGGTCTCCTTGTGCTTTCGCGCGGACGAGCGCTGCGAGTTTCTGCGGGAGGAAACGCGTGAAGTGGAGGAGCCCTCGTGTGACTGGACGGCGGTGGTTCTCCTGCACGGTGTACCCTCTGGTCAAGCATCAAAAATGGAGGTCTTCATGGAACAATATTAATGGCTGGTTGGTGGTTTGAAACATGTCTTATTTTTCCATATATAGGGAATAATCATATGTTTCAGAGGGGTAGGTCAACCACCAACCAGGAATCTGTCGATTGGATGTACTACATAGATCTAAATGGAAACAGACGCCCATGAATAGTTGGATGCTTTTGCGAACAAGACCTCCATTTAGTGCCTGGAGTTTCCAGCCATATTTGATGAGCAGAGGCATGTGTCAAACCTCTGGTACAAACGGAATGGGGCGATTCACATCTAGCCATTTCAGCTGTTTTGAAGACAAACATGGGAAGGTTGAGAAGAAACTGTTGGACTTTGGATCATTTTGGATGATTATATGATTGCTGTTCACCACTGGAAGACCCCAAGTGGTTGCATCATAGCTTCCCCCGGTGCACAAGAGACATATACAGCTTCAATCAGTTACATCATTTGGCTTTGTCTGAAATTTAGTATTCAGTACCCCATTCCATCTGGATAAATTACAACGACTTCACTGTCCTCCCTCACAGTTTCAGCATAGTTGGGAGTCGGGCAAGCATCCCCAAATGGCCGCAAGTTTTTCAGGTGTAGTGAATCAGTGGAGTATTCGAAGTTACCCAGATTCCATCCCTCAGTTTCATCATAGTGGATGGGACACTACAGCCAGCGAAATCCAATTAAACTCCTATTAAAATCACCAATGTTGGATGGTTTTTCAACCCAAACAAAATCCATGGGATCTTTACATAACCCGTCCTCAACTGGTGATTTTTCTGGATTTCGCTGGCCCATGGGTCCCAACGGATGGCCCGTTTTTAGAGGAGGTTCCAACAGCGCCGCGTCTTGACGTCTTTTGTTGGGAAGTCTTGGCGTCAAAAATTGTGAAATGATGAGTTTTTCTTTGTTTGTCCATGTTTATGGACTATGATCAAACTCAGGAGAGTTTTCAAGAATTTACATAAATTCGAATGACAGGAATGTTATGTTTTTTTTTGCTATCCGACTGACTGCATGAATGTTCGATTGCAACTGCTGTCCGGGTGGTTGAAACAGACATGTTTATTCTTGAAGTATGTACTGACAAACATTAGTTTCACCATATTCATCAAAGTAATAGCTGCCCACATTGTGTGTTTCCATATAAACACGAACACTTAAAACAAGTTAAATCATCAAAGTTAGATAGTTTCATACTTAATATGCCGTTCAATGATCCAAAATTGGCTTAATATAGTCTCAATACCTTTCAATGCTCAAAAAAGTAGGATGGACTATAATCCCAACATATTCTGGGATGCATTAAAAAATATTGTTTATGTGCATCTTATGATAGCCATATCAAGATACCGCAGCTATAAATGCCCAGTCTGCCCAGTGGTTCTTTGTGGTTCCCCAGGTGGCGCTCTGGACATTTCCAGCGTGGGGGTGGCATTGGGATGCTTGGTAGCCATGATCAGATTACTTTTCCAACCATGGTCCAGGGGATTTACAAATATTTGGGATTTACCCTCTGGTAATTTAACATAGCTATTGAAAATGGTGATTTATAGTGGATTTTCCCATAAAAAAATAGTGATTTTCCATAGCTATGTTAAATTACCAGAGGGTATTTGGGATTATACATGTGGGTGTTTAAGGCTGTTCAATGTTGTGTTTGGATGGAATGATATTTGATGATATTTGTATAGCTTGCCTTCCCGTGATGATCCAAGTTGACTAATAAGACTCGGTGTAGGAATCGGCAATGATGCGTTCTATTCTAAGTAAAACAAGTCCAGAGAAAAAATAGAAGAATAACCTCAACAACAATTAATGGGGTAGACCCAATAATAAACCATCCCTAATGATACCATGAATAGGTGATAATTGAATATATGATCCCTAAATGGTAGGTTTTGTGGACAATTTCCTCAAGCCCCTCTTACATGTTTTGTTTTGTTGTTGCCACGCCACCTTCAGGACTCATGAGCAAAACCGTGACCCGAGTTACAGAGTACCTTTGGCACTTTGAGGCGCATTGCTCGAACTTAGGGACTGAACGCGATAGGATCAACTTGTGACTATTTAGCCAGCAAAAAGCCATCAGACATGGCAATTTTGCTATATTATTACTGGAATATATACAGTAGGAAAATAGTGTATATTATTTACCACTATATACACAGTAATAATCCCATGAATTTTATGGAATTTACCTATATACACAGTAATAATTGGCAAACATTGGGCTTTAATGGTGATTACATGAAGATATATATATATATATATATATATATGGTAATAGAACCCCTTGGACTATTGGCCCAGAGAATCGCCAACACGGGTCTGTTGGAACATCGGAAATATGTACACTTACAACATCGGGCAATTTGAGTGGAAAGATGATGATTAACCAGTGGTAACTATTTAGATTCAAATCCTAGGCTTGGGGTTGAACACAAAATGACTTAGATACATACAATCATTGTCATATATATAAATATATACACGTACAGTTCCACATCATTACTCATCATGATCTTAATGAATCAACCTATACTATATATAATATTAAATATATACACTACATATATATATATTATAATATATACACTACATATATATATATTATAATATATACACTACATATATATATATATATATTATAATATATACACTACATATATATATTATAATATATACACTATATTTTAATATATACACTACATAAATATAAATTATAATATATACACTATATATATATATTCTAATAAATACAATATATATAAGTATTATAATATACACACTATATATATATTATAATATATACACTATATATATATTATAATATATATAGTGTATATATTATAATTTATACACTACATATATATACACTATATATATATATATTATAATATATACACTACATATATATATATTTTAATATATACACTAGATATATTACAATATATACACTATATATATTTTAATATATACACTATATATATAAATATATACACTATATATATAAATATACACTACATATATATATTATAATATATACACATATATATATATTACAATATATACACTACATATATATATATATTATAATATATACACTATATATATAATCTATACACATATATTTTAATATATACACTATATATATATTACAATATATACACTATATATATATTATAATATATACACTGACACTATATATATATATGTATATTATAGTATATACAATACTAAATATATATATTATACACTACATATATACACTATATATATTATAATATATATATATTAAAATATATACACTACATATATATATATATTACAATATATACACTATATATTTATATATTACAATATATACACTACATATATATATATTACAATATATACACTATATATTTATATATTACAATATATACACTACATATATATATATATATTACATTATATACACTACATATATATATATATATAATAATATATACACTACATATTTGATCATAATAAAACTCTCCATCCCATTCCTCAGGTGACCTACACCCTAGACCTTCTCCGTGGAGTCGGCGCCGAGCGCCGCCGTCTGACGAGCGCCACGACGTCGGCGCAGCTGACGACCACGGCGAAGTTGGCGCCAAGGCGCATGCAGGTGCCGGCCATCAGTGGCTGAGCTTTAATGGCCATCATTGTTTTGGGGTGAGTTTTAATGGTGATTTAATGGGACTATAGTATACTATAGTTGGGTTTTAATTTTATCATTTTATGGTGATGATGGTGATTTTAGGGGTGATTTTATGGGACTAGTTGTGTTTTAATTTTATCATTTTATGGTGACTTTATGGTGATTTTAGTGGTGATTTAATGGGAATAGCGGGGTTTTAATGGTGATTTTCTTAGGTGATTTGATGGATTTTGATGGTAAACATGGTGATTTTGATGGTTTTAGCTCTATATTCTTGGGTGATTGAAAGGTAATACTGGTGCTTTTGCTTTAAATTGATTGAACCAAGAGAAATGGTGGCAGACTTGGGATACAATTGGGATACAATGGCGATTTTTTGTTCTGGGAGCAAGGTCTTTTGAGCTGAGGAGGTTTTCATGTTTTTTCATGTTTTTTCGATAATTATGAAAACAGGATTTTCCTTATCGGTTTATGGTTTAGACAGAGACATTTCAGGATTTGGGGGGAAGAAAAGGGGTAGAAAATCAAGAATCTTTGGGACAAATGGTGAAGTATTCAGTGGCTGATTTCGATTTTGCAGGGCGACAAAACAGGAGTTGGGAAACAGTAGGATTCCCCCGAGGTTTTGGAGCTGAGGTAAAGAAATCAACATGACGTTCTTCTTCAAGCATTTGGAGCCTTCCAGCGACGGTCAACCAGGCATGGGAACGGCGGTTTGTCACATGGGAAGGGCCGGCCATGAATCACGCGGAACATGTACCGAGGGATCCCAAGGTAAGCAACCGGTCGGCGATCATGAACATGGGTAACACTTGCCCTTGAAACACCACAAGTGCCAATAACTGATTGATTCACAGTACCTCCTCGATTTTGAGTAATGTCAATCCAGAACACCTTGGGTTGTTTTATTGGGAGTTACTATTTAAGAACAAAATACTATACGTTTTTTGAGGGTAACTTGGTCATCAACTGGGTTTCGTTTGTTGGTCCGGGGTTTACAGTACTTCAAGGCACCTTTTGACCAATTAAATTTCCGAGCACAATAAGATTTCCAAAGCGGTCCTGCACACAAACTCTGGAAGATGATTTGTTGTTTTGCACATTGGGAGAGAAACACAATCTCCTGAGGGGATTTCGCCATGATTTTTGGGGATGGTTTTCAAAGAAACAAGACAAAATCAAGTCTCCACTTGTTCTCTTCAATTCCACATTTTCAATTTTCAATTCACATGGTGATTTATGGTGTCTATGCAATTTTCAATTCACCAATATTCACCATTCAAATTTCAAATCACCATAAATCACGGCGCAAGCATGACAGGTTACTGTCCGCGCTTCCAAATTCCACGGGACTCCAAGACCAAGACACCGCGGCGCAATCAGCAGGTGGAAAATCCACGAAGTATTGGTTGATGGCAATGGAAAAGCCCCTATTGATTGTTAAAATCTGGAAACATCGTGTAAACATGGAGGTTTCACTAGAAAATATGGGAAAATCATGGATAATGATGGAACATCCTTGAACTAAATGGAGGTTTATAGCATTTATAGCTGGGACAATCGTCGAACTAAATGGAAGGGTCCAACTATGTCCACACTGACTTCATATTTTATTTCTAAAACTTGAATTTGCATTTGAATCATGAAAGTTCAAACTTCAATCATACAGGTTCACAATATGGCTCCTGATTGATGTTCCATCTCGATTTCGGACCCAATGGGACTTGGTGTTCACATCTAATCTATTTGAACATCAAGAGGTAAAGCCCAGGCTACTAATTGTTGTGTGACAAAGCTATGGATCTTTTCTTTGCCGGAAAGCGGATGTGTTTTTTTTTCCTGTAAAGTGGCTTGGTACTGGGAGCCATTTCTCCCGGTCAACTCATTCACCTTTTCGGCAACCATCCTACCCAAATAGTGATGAATCACGTGTCTATGTTTCTGGGGGTTACCATAGATTTACCATGATTTACCACATATGAATATAGTGGCGAATCACTTTTCTATCTTTTTCTGTTACTAGATGTTACTAATTAATCTAATTACAGATTTACCCACCTTACCTCAGAAAAACCTGGAGGCATACTGGATATATGCCCTTATGACTTGTCGGGGCATTCTAAAGTGATGGTTTCAGTCTCAACATGTCTCAACCATGAACTGTTGCTTGGTGAGGTGGAAGAGATGTGGCACTATCTGCAGAATCTCAAAGCCTTTGCTGGCTCAGTAGAACGTGCTCTGGTTGAACGCCCCAGGGTACCTTCATCTGATACCACGTAGGTAACCAACATGTAGATATACAGCAGTATACCGGCATACCTCCTAGGTCCTAGCCTTTTCCAAGATGTCGTAGATGACAGTAGTTTATTATTTCCAGGCGATTTTCAAGAAATCTGTGTTGAGGTTACTATAGACTCGTCATTGGAGTTTCTACAATTCTCAACAGGCTATTGGATTTTCCCTGTTTTGAGGTAATTCTGAATTATGATTGTGGAAATGCATTTTGGGGTCAAAGAGTGCTCGTTTCTCGTTTTGAAATCGCCACTGACAACTTGTAAGGACAGCAAGTCAATCGATTCTAGGGACTTAAATTTTTTCACCATACACATATTCAGTTTCATCACTTCCCAATCAGTTTCTCTTCCAAATTGATGCGCTTACCATCCTCCCAAAAGCTCCAGCCATGGATGGTGAAGTTCCCCGAGTCCACTAAGCTGCTGGTTGAATGTTGAATCCCATGTTTTTGTTGTGAAATCCCAACTGGTTGGTGGTGACTGGAACATGGCTGGTTGAAATGACTTTCCATTTCATATATGGGATGTCATCCTTCCACATTTTTGTTGGGAAGAGATTTTCCCCAACTGACGAACTCATATATTTTTCAGAGGGGTTGGTTGAAACCACCAACCAGTCAGGGAAAAATCAAAGTCTGGTAGAAAGTACGTTGCTTCAAACCTTCAAAACCTATCCCTGCATCGAGGATATCTCTCCCAGCTAGCGGATGGCACCAGACAAAACTGCAGCGCAGAGGCCGCATCTGTTTTGGATTATCCACATAGTAATCCCCAGATGGAAAAGTGAATCTTCATGATTTTCATGGGGATTTACTTTTCTATCTTTTTGGGTATGACTACTATATGTATACATATGGATGTTTTCTTAGTTAGTGGTTTGACATACGTGTTATTTTCCATCTTGTATTAATAGTATCCATTGACACATATTGTTCAGATGGGGTTGAAAAACCACCTATCGTAATTTTTATTGATGGTTTTCCCGACATTTGGGGAATCTACAGTTTTTTCTTTTTGTGGGCGGCCTTAAGCACATCAAATCCAAGTTTTTCACGGCCCACCCAGCCATAATCAGAGAACCAAATCAGCAGGGCTTCCAGCGTAGCAGGGCTATGGGTGGTGAAACACACTTTTTCCACCTGATCACTGATATAAAATAAGAAATAGCCGTTATGTGCGAAAGTACTTGTCCCGTGGTCATGGCAGATGCCCATTTATAATTAGGGCGGGAAAAACAAATCTTACTTCCCTTAGGCTCACTTTTCTGCTTAGTTTCAACTTTTTTGGAATGTGTAGAATGGGAAGAGGCCTCGGACGGTGCAAGGTAAATGATGGTGGACACAACGTTTGGGGGGTCATTAGGCCATCGTCGTCCGCGGGTGTCTTCGAGTCGGCTATGAGCCAGCTAGTTTTTGGCATTGTTCCCGACAGAAGTGGACACAGAAGACAGCGCGGCAAGCTCAGCAGTATATAAATGTATATGTTCATTGATCATGTGGTTGTCCGTGTGTGAGGCCCTGAAAAGGTGTTTAAGCTTTATCTTTCTAGGTGCTGGGAGAAAGGCTTTATTTCTTGCCATCAGCATGTGACGATTTCTTCTTTTGAAAGATTCTTCTTCTCCCGGTGAAAGGATTCCTCCTTCCCGGCGCCGGGTTGGGAGGATTCTCTTTTTCCTGGCGCCGGGTCTCGCTCCCGGCGCCGGGTCTACCTCCCGGCGCCGGCTCTCCTCCCGGCGCCGGCTGAAGCCTTCCTCCTTTCCCAGTGCGGGGTGGAAGCTTTCTTCTCTTGCTGGCAGAAAGACCAGCAACCGCGGCGACATACAGTATGTTTGTTGTTGAGCTCAGGGCGTCAAAGTCTTCATTCCCTTCTAACGGCGCCAGGGTGACGAGGAGAGCGCTTCGATTCAACAATGACACCCGGATACTCGAAATTCAAGGCGCAGATCAGCTTGAGTGTGGAGAGATGTATTTCGGCCATGAGATGAAGGATAATTAAGGAACAGCAACGCTGCTGACTGTTGCTAGCTTTCCGCTTCCGCGCCTACACACCCGTCCTATAGGTTTCTACGGAGCCTCCTGCTATGTCGGCAGCAGACGGATACCCTGCTATTTTGAAAATGTATGTATGTATATCATATATCTGCTAAGAGGCATGTACGCTTTTTAAATAGTCCCTCACAGTCGCACCTGCGCCAAGACGGGGATGAAATAATTTCCGGCCATTGCAGGCACCAGGCGCCAATTTTCAGTGCAAATTTTCATTTTTGAAAACGTTCGAAATCACCTCGCACAGCCCCGATGGCTTGGCTCCACCCACTGCCCCGCTCAAAGGGCTAGCGGCGGCCTTCCTCCGAATGCCCCGTTCTAGCTCCTTACTCGTACAAGATTCAAATCTTCCTCCCAAAGCCCCGAACGAACCATTTCCACCCAAAGCCCCGATGAAACCAATCCACCCAAAGCCCCGATGAAAAATTACACGCAAAAACGGTAAAAAAAACAGCAAAAAAAGTGTTTTTCTCGTTTCTGGAAAGAGCCTAGGTGCTTCCCAAGTCTCAGCTGAAGGGCCCGCAGCAAGGACTTGCTTGAAAACCCCAAAAGACTGGATGGCGGCATGAAGCAATCTTGAATACTACTTCTACTACATCGGCACTAATGCAAGCCTAAAAGGCTTGAGGTCATGGGGTTTTCCTCATTCCATCCGGTTCTGCTTCTTGCATCAACGCGTCTGCCAGGCATATATGGAAGCAATGCAGAAACAGACTCTGGTCCCTGTTCTGTTCCCGTTTGAGACATGCAAAGTTCAAGGTCCATCGTAGCAATGCTCTTTTCAACCAGCGTTGTGCAAAGCTTTGGCACCCAAGCCGCTGCTCCTGTTTGCTCTTTGCTGTAGCCTCTGCCTTTCTAGGGCTGGCCTGTTTTAATTTCTCGCTTAGCAGGCTTAGCAAATGAAAATGGAATTGGTAGTGTTCTGCAAGCCGTGCTTGAAACAGCTACAGGACTGAGCATGAGGGTTGAATGAGAGGGCATTGCTGCAGCTTGCTGCTCCCACTGGCTCCGGCGTGCCTTGACGGCAAGCTTCCCCAAGTTGAGAGCTTTCCCCATGAAGGCAAGGATTCGAACGCCCGTGGTGAGTTGCCATCTTGACGAAGGCAACTGCCGCTAATGCTCTAGGTGTTGCCTGCGTTAGCCTTCTCTGCGGCGTGCCCAGCGCGGGGTCGACTGTGAAATATGGCAAAGGGCGTTTCGCATGCTACTGGCCTGGTTCTCGTCGCAGGAATTCAAGGCAACATTGCGAAAGAAACAGGTGGCCACTGAGATCAGGTTGTACATACGGTTTCATACATGTTGATTTTCACAGGTACATGCTGTTGAAGTAGCCCCCCAAGGACAAGAAGTGTCCAAGCGAAGGCTAAGGATTTGCTAGTGCTCAATTGCATGGGTCTGTCCTGTATTGGCCGTTGCTTGTCATAAAACAAACTTACATGATAAAAGGAAAATCGAAAGCCTCTTCAACGAAAAGGACCCGCTTGCCACACAACATGTGTGCTATAGCCCACCATGAGCTTGCGAAAAAAGCAAGGGATTTCGTCAAGACTATCACTGGCACGCTCTTAAAAATGGAAAAATACTCATCAGGTATCAGCTCTTAACGCAACCAGATCAAATCTTGGGCTGATACTATCCCTGCAGATGTCAAACGCGCAGCTAAAAACCTTTTAGCTACACACAGAAAAATGGACATTTTTATGCCAATACTGGCATCGCGGCCAAAAACCTCCAGCCAATTCAAGAAGCGACCAGCAGAACATATTGATTCAAAGAAACCCTATCAAAAACACATGGGCCAAAATTCAGCCAAACATAACCAAAAATTCATCAAACACTTCCCTGCTGCCGAGCCCCTGAGTAGCGGACCTGGCAGAAGACGACGTGCAAAAAACTTGTCAAAGTGGTATTACATGGCTTAGGGGGTGGAGACCCTCAAAAAGCCGTCCCTGTGTGAAACCGTGCTTTTGCTTCGCAGAAACAAATCAAGGTTGAATCATCACCAGGGAGTTTTCAAAGCGACCAACAACACATTCCACATCAGAAAAAAGAGTGGGGATGGGCAGCAACTCACCCTTCGGCACCCAGGACAACGCCCAAACCTTGGAATGTTGTCTGACGAAATGCCAAGGGAAATTAGCACGATAAACAAGTGCCACAAAAACCTCCCATAGCGCTTCGCGCAGTGCAGCACGCGAGGTGGAGAAATACCAGGACCTACACAACAAACCCCTTACAGCTGTTTTAAACTGCTGTGGGGGTGCCCATGACTGCCATGGTTTGAGAGGAAAGTTGTCAGTTTCCCCATAGCAGTGGGCAGCCCAGGGATCCGACGTACAGGGCCGCAAAGAGATATATGCACCATCCCAAGCAACCTGCAAACCTGTAAAAACATTGTCATCCGCTTTATCCAAGGACATCGTGCCAACAACAAATCGCTGGCGCCACTGTACCCATGCCCAGGATCGGACAACATCAGGCGTAAGTGCCGAGCATGAACGCCATGCAAAAAACATGCGAAGATCATCACGGTACGAAACATCTAGCACCAAAACGTTAGACTGTAAAAGGTGCAGCAGCTTACACTTACTGGCTGGTATTGGCACGCTTTCAGCGACCGCAGCCACACCACAGTGGAATTCACGGTGCCATTTCCATAGCCTCAGCAGCGCAGAACTCAAGGCATCTCCTTGAGGGGCACCATGCTGTTCACGACCTAACCACGAACCTATGGCAACGTGATTAGTGGTTGCAAAAGCCAACAAAATCTTACGAATTGATGCGAAATCTATACAGGTCCAACCAGGGTCATCACATCGACCAAGGATACCACGACAGCCTAAACGCTTGTGGGGGACACTAACACAAGAAAGACCCAGCCCTTTCCAGTAAGCAGCCAGACCATCCCACATGTCGGCAAAACGCTCACAAGGAAGATGCCGGAAACAATCCTTCATATCAGCGGCAGCTGTACAACCAACATCAAACTGATAATCCTGAACATGGAGATTAAAATCACCGACCAAAGACACCACTTCACCCATGGAGAGGTAGTCACTCCATAAATGCCGTGGGAAACTATCCAAAAGAATGTCTAGACCCCGTGAAACAAGCGAATGCAAGCCACAACACGGGGTGTAGTGCTTGTTGACAATAAGTCGCCACTTCAACCCTGGACATTTCCATTTTGGCAAAAAAGAAACTGTGGCAATGCACCACTGCCTTTTAGAAACGACAGTGTGCAAACCGGGAATCAAATGTGAAGGAAGGTCTGACATGTTAGCCATGCCACTCAGCACATCCCGCTGACGACCAATATCCGAGACCGACCAAGCAAAATTCGCATCAGGTTTTTGATGATGCAAGAAATCCAATAACTGACAAGCATGCTCAAAAACCAACTTGGGACAAAAAACTCCCAATGAAGAGGGGTTGTGGTCAAACACAGAGACGAAAACACCCTGCGCTTGGAGCCACTCCCTTGCTTCACCAACGTGAGACCAAGTTATTGGGACTCGACTGTCTTGGACAGGCAAGGACCACAAGGAGGAACAGCAGCGCTGCACTGCTTCCACTGTACAGGAGTCCGAAATCGGAATACGGCATCGATTACGAAGCCTCCGAAAAGACGTCCGAACTGCAGAAACCACATCCTCAAAACGAGGCGGGAGGCCGATGCTTGCTGGCCACCGAGCGAGATGCCGTAACTGTTCAGGCCAAGGCACCATACCCTGGGGGGCGGCGATGTGCTCACAGCCGTCAAAAGTAACGACAGGCCAGCCAGGATTTTGCAAGCGCACAGCCTCACAGATACACTGTGGGGAAACACCCTCTTCGAGAGCTTGGCGCAAAACTGACGTGCTTGTCAAACAATCTGCCAAAGTAGGGGGAGCAGTCCACGAAACAAAGCACTTTGCATGCCTTGCTATGGGAACCCAGTGCCCCTTCCGTCTCCATGCGGAAAGTAATTCACGAATTTCACCGCGCAAAATGCGCAGTGCCGATGTGGAGCCCATCCAGGGGACAGACACCGCAACAGATGACACAAAAGGGCAAAGGTCTCTCCGTTTCTTGGAGATGATACCTAAAAGATGAAGGCCCCGCTTTCGCCGCCAACCTGTTTCAAATTGGTCAACTCGGCGAGCCACATAAGCCCAGGCACCGGGACTCAAATTCCATGCCGCGAGAGCGGCAGCGTTTGACTTTTCAAAACGCCGCCCAGCCAGCGCGGCAGCAATTTTTTGAAGACCATCACGCCACTCTTTCCGAATAAGACCCACAGAAGAGGATAAAGACATTTCCCCTGCAGCAGGTTGAGAAGGGCGGAGCCTACACAAAGAGCGAAAAGAATCAAAGATACGAAGACCCTGCACTTGCCGCTGCTTTGTTTTTGGAAGCAAACTATACACCGTCGGCGGATTCAAAGTGCCCAGACTATGGCAAAGGGCGGTTTCAGCCAAAAGCCGCTCGCCAGTATCCACGGGAGCGAGATGCACCGGCAACATCATCAAAAAACTCAGGGCGGCAAGCAACTGTGTCCCTTGACAGCAGTTGTGCCGAACAACCTGGTAAAACGGTTGCTGGGTCGCACCATCTTGAGCAATGAGGCGAAGGAGGTGTTCCACCATACGCCGCCGAAAGCTCGTTGTTTCACCAATGTAAAACAAGGGCCCAAAACGAGAACATCTTAAAGGATAAGGAAAAATAATATAAAGGCATGGTGACTGATGGAGAAGTTGCCATCCATGGGCCCACGGGTCAGAGCCAATGAGCTTCAATAAACGCACATTTCTCCTTGAAGGCAAAACCTGTAACAACATCAGCCAAAGACTCCCTGCCAGGCTAATCAGCAGAAATTGGTCCTCCCAAGAACGGCGTGAGACTAAAAACAAACGAAAACGCAACAACAAAACAACATCAAGGGCAGCTTTCAGGGCAGCACTCAGGTCAGGATCAGCAGAAAATAGCTCAACTCAGGAAGGCCTTCGCACAATGTCAAGGGCGCGAAGCCGAGCCAGAAGGATCGGAACTTTCTCGTCAGGGCTGACATTCAAAGCATCCAAGAGCTTGTTGAGGCATGTGTTCTCTTTTGTTTTTGCGCCGAGCTTCGGCATGATTCGCTCCAGCTTTCGCAAACAAATGCGGAAGACTGTCTGGTATAGATCACTCATGGCTTCCAAGGGCGACAGGGCCAACAAGGCCTTGGCGGCCGGGGTCTTACGCCCAGCAATGCGGTGCGCCTTGGTATCCAACTCAAAATTGGCCATAGTGAGGCTGGCAGTGTCTGTGTCGACCCGCCGTTTCACCCAGTCATGGAAATCTGGGGAGGTAGTATCCTCCTTTTTCTGAGCGGGTGAGTCCACAGCCATGGCCCTCAATGCATCCAGGGAACCTCGGGGAGGCGAAGCAGCACCTGGAGCAGCCTCAAAGGGCAGATCTGGGGTTGCCCACTCAATATCACGAGCGTTGGGTGATGAACGTGGTTTTTCAGGGCATGCATCCAAATATTTGAGAATGCTCTTCCATTTGACTGGATCCGTGGTATTCAACGGGATCCTATGGAAGACATCCCAGAAATGCCGCTCAGTCAATCGGCTCATAGGTACAATCTTCATGCCATCCTCGGCATAAAAAGGGGCTGCCTGGGGTGTCGCGAGAGCTTGGATTCTCTCTCGACGAAGATTGTTGATTTTTCGACACATCTCCATGCGAGACTCTTTGTCAGAGATGGACTTAACGTCCGTGATGATGCCATCAGGAGCATCAAAGGCTACGCTTCGAAGAGATGCCGGCAAATCATTGAAAACCTTCTTGAACTCAGCAGGGGGAAGCCGAGAAAGCAAGGAAGCCACCTCATCATGCGATCCTCTGGGTGACCGCGACCGCTCATGTGAACGGTGCGTAACTGGCATTCCATGGCTAGGTGCCCAAACCCCAGGAGGGACCATCATGTGCTGAGGAAGAAAGTACCCACCACTCATCTGATTCATCTGCTGCAAAGGAAAACCGGGATGCGCAGCCTGATGAAATTCAGCACGTGGAGGCGGTGGAGGAGGCGCAGTGCCATGACCACAATGCATAGCTTTAAAAATGCCGCCGCAAAAATCAGGAAAAAACCAAGGCGAAATCTTGCAGAAGGAAGATTGCAACTGATCACATGTCGGGGTGACAACCTTTGCTGAAGCACAGCATTACAGTTCACAACTCTTGCTAGAATTACCAAGGCTCATTCAGAGAAGAAGCTCGAAACTTTTTCTGGGATAGCGCGCTTAAACATGCCAGCCACACCTGCAAAGAAGGATCCAATGGTGAAGACCATCAACGTAAACTAGATAACTAAGAAAAAAAAATACCTTTGTGAATAAAATACGTACTGCGAACAAGGCAATCATGCCAATATCACGTGTCTATTTTTCCAGATCAATCATCGACCTGAGAACAAATTTGAGACTGAAAAACGCTAGTACTGCCAAGCCATTGGCAAGAGAAATGCCTACACCAGGACCATTCCTGGGGTCCCAAGGGTCACAATACCACAAATTTGGGCACAGGCGCAAAAAATATGATAAAAGGAAAATCGAAAGCCTCTTCAACGAAAAGGACCCGCTTGCCACACAACATGTGTGCTATAGCCCACCATGAGCTTGCGAAAAAAGCAAGGGATTTCGTCAAGACTATCACTGGCACGCTCTTAAAAATGGAAAAATACTCATCAGGTATCAGCTCTTAACGCAACCAGATCAAATCTTGGGCTGATACTATCCCTGCAGATGTCAAACGCGCAGCTAAAAACCTTTTAGCTACACACAGAAAAATGGACATTTTTATGCCAATACTGGCATCGCGGCCAAAAACCTCCAGCCAATTCAAGAAGCGACCAGCAGAACATATTGATTCAAAGAAACCCTATCAAAAACACATGGGCCAAAATTCAGCCAAACATAACCAAAAATTCATCAAACACTTCCCTGCTGCCGAGCCCCTGAGTAGCGGACCTGGCAGAAGACGACGTGCAAAAAACTTGTCAAAGTGGTATTACATGGCTTAGGGGGTGGAGACCCTCAAAAAGCCGTCCCTGTGTGAAACCGTGCTTTTGCTTCGCAGAAACAAATCAAGGTTGAATCATCACCAGGGAGTTTTCAAAGCGACCAACAACACATTCCACATCAGAAAAAAGAGTGGGGATGGGCAGCAACTCACCCTTCGGCACCCAGGACAACGCCCAAACCTTGGAATGTTGTCTGACGAAATGCCAAGGGAAATTAGCACGATAAACAAGTGCCACAAAAACCTCCCATAGCGCTTCGCGCAGTGCAGCACGCGAGGTGGAGAAATACCAGGACCTACACAACAAACCCCTTACAGCTGTTTTAAACTGCTGTGGGGGTGCCCATGACTGCCATGGTTTGAGAGGAAAGTTGTCAGTTTCCCCATAGCAGTGGGCAGCCCAGGGATCCGACGTACAGGGCCGCAAAGAGATATATGCACCATCCCAAGCAACCTGCAAACCTGTAAAAACATTGTCATCCGCTTTATCCAAGGACATCGTGCCAACAACAAATCGCTGGCGCCACTGTACCCATGCCCAGGATCGGACAACATCAGGCGTAAGTGCCAAACTACATGGGGTCTTGAAATGTGTTCCGGTAGAAGATTCAGTGAACGTTTGCAAGGCTATTTAATCAGAAATATCTGTTCAATGTAGCTGGGTGGGAAACCCCCCCAAGCCCCGCTCCACCCAGTGCCCTGCAAATTCTTTCCTCCAACATAAGCGCCATCAGTTACTTTAAATGCATGTATCATCACGTATCCATCATGTCTGTTTTTGAACTCATTAGGGTACAACAAAAATGACTTACTAGCGGACCCCTGCGATGTCGGCTCTTTCTACCATAGAGCTTCTAAATTCATCTAACTGTAACTGGTAGACAGATGGGCATATTGCAGCCCCAGTTTCTGTAGAATTAACTAGCAGCAGTGCCTCTGTACCTGTGAAAGTTTGTGGCAGCCGATGAGTTGGACCTTGATACCCCGGGTTTTCACATCAAAATACTTGTTATATAGCAGGATGTGAATCCCCTTGTTTTGGAAGTCATAGGTTGTGACGAATCACCTTGAAGGCCTAGGTCCCACTCCCCCATCCGCATTGGAACCGCGGCAGGCGGTCTTCGTTCCAATGTTGCCTCTCTTGCAGGCCGAGGGCCATCCAGAGGAAGGGGCCGAACAAGTAGAAAGCAGGACAGCGGAGGGGTTCAAAGGCGTAGATTTCTCCAACCAAAAATGGTAATTTGGCCCTGAACATAGCCATTTTTGGAGGCAAGTAACTTTCCAACTTTGTATTTTGGTGGGATTTATGTTAGTTGTGGGGATGGTAAATTCGGATTTTCGCAAACAAGATTTGATCGATTTTCGCAACACACATGGGGATTTGTTTTTCCACAAAATATAGGGATTCAATTCCCAAACACAAACATATGCTGGTTGGTGGTTTGGAACATGTTTTATTTTTCCATAAGTTTCCATATTTTTCCATATTTTTCCATATATTGGGAATAGATTTTTCCCAACTGACGAACTCATATTTTTCAGAGGGGTTGGTTGAAACGACCAACCCGATATGGGATTTTAATGGATTTCAAACACACAATGGTTTTTGAGGTCTACGCTATGGGTTTCCCAAAACCTCCGGGGCCGATGATTTTTGGGAGTTGGAGCTGATGGCACTCCAAAACAGATGGCTGGTTATAAGACATGACAAAATGGAGAAGCTGTGCCGACCAACCTATTTATGTCTTAGTAGGGAATGGATGGGACTGGGGGTTGCTGGGATGATTATTACATATTATTACTAGTTTTCCCATGGTTTTCTCCACATTCTTCAGACAGGGCCATCTTCCCATGTGGAAAACCCATGGGTTTCCCCCTAAATTCTCCCTGGAAACAGCGATCGTTGCTCAAGCTCAGAGGATCTGTGTTCGACTGGACGCTGATGGACCCGGTGGCGTCATATCGTCGGACTGCAACCGATTGCTGGCAGAGGAGATGTGCCTTGTAACCACAGTCGTAACTGGCTTATCGTGATAGAAAATATACAGAAATAACCACCAATAACTAACTAGTTAACTAGTTACAGGTGTTGTTGCATCATATATTTCATCCCATTTATAACTGTGCCATATAACTTATAACTATCCAGAACTCTAGATGTTTGTAGAGTCTTGAAAGTTCTTGGAGTCTTTTGTTTTAAGGGGAACAAAAACTTTGCTTCCTCAACCCTTTCGCAGATGTTTTGGGCGTGGCCCGCCTGCGCACCAAGGCGCAGTCTGGCGGTGAAAAGGCAAGAACTCTCCGAAGAATTCGCTGAGAGCCATGGCGTTTCTGGGTATGGCATGGACTGTCAATCCGGTGGTTTAGCAGTTTAGCCTCCCAAAATTCAACTGTTTGCTATCGTAGAGTCATGGCCCATTGAGTGCGATAATTGACCTTTTTTGAAAAGGGGCATTTTCCATAGCTATGTTAAATTACCAGAGGGTATGATTCTTCCAAAGGATATAGTCTCTGACAGTCTCAGATTGCAATGGAAACACATCCCCATGTGTAGATATGATTACCTTCCGGCATAGTCCAAAAGTACGTCTAGAATGCCCTCCTTTGTGATAAATATTCCCTATGAACATCTATGCTACAGTGCCGCAGTATACCCCACTTTCAAACATAGCCGACGTAGGTTCCAGTATATTCCAAATCTCAGTGATTGGAGATTTACCCTCTGGTAATTTAACGTAGCTATTGAAAATGACCATTAATAGTGGATTTTCCCATTAAACATGGTGATTTTCCAGTTCGCTATGTTAGTCATTACCAGAGGGTACCATGATTTGCCTCCTGTTTTCGGATCATCCTTCGCTGTTTTCGGCTGGCGGGATGACTGGAGGTTTTCCGCTTGCAAGAAGCAACTCTGGTGCTGGCTCTCAAGCATTGCCTGGATGTGGTGGAGCGATGGTGTGCCGCTGGGCAGTGGATTTGAACACAAAAAAAGTGGGATTTATCCATCCAATATCATCCAATCCCCAAAATTTTACAGATGGCAGAACCAGCAACCAATCTATAGATAATGGTGGTTTAATGGTGGTTTAATGGCAGAACCATTCCAATCCATTCCTATATATAGTCTGTTTATGTTTATGGTGGTTTAAAAACATGTTTTTTTTTAATGGTGGTTTCAATTGTTCAACAGCCCAAGCTCCTTGAGAAAACTGGGACGCTGGTCCGCGACCCCGAGGATAGTGTGGATTTCGTGGAATCCTTGCTGCGTCGCCAGCTGAGCGCCTGCATTGGCCGCAGTTTGACTGCAGCGGATGTGGCCAATTGCATGCGCTTCCATCACAGGTGACTGGGACTTGGATTCCAGTTTTTCCATGTTTTTCCTAGACATCAAACAGCAGGATGAGGCATACGCCTTGCAGCAACAAACCAGTGTCATCGAACGTGGCTTGCTGGAATTTTCCCTCATTTGGTTTGATGAGTTTCCCAGCTACAAAACCTCCATTTCGTTCGGTGATTTCACATGCTAGGTTTTATCATGGGGGGAATCAACATCTCTAAATTCCAGCTAAAATGTGGTGTTTTCACAAAAGGCTACCAGAGTCTTGGCCCATGACATTTTAGGATGACTTAAGGGATAAACATACACTTGTAAATTTCACCGATTCTCTGCTCTAATTCAGGTTGAATTTTCCGGGGGCATCAGGCCGCTGGTTGAGTGAACAATTCGGAAATTTACGTTCCATCCCACTTTGGAGGCGAAAATCTGTACCTATTTGTCGAGGCAGCAAAACACCACCAATCAGAAAATGTCGTGTGAGCTGTTCTCTGACTGTCGCAGAAAAACAGCAGACTCTGATAACTGGTTGGTGGTTTCAATTTTTTTTATTTTCCATTTCATATATGGGATGTCATCCTTCCCATTGACGAACTTTCAGAGGGTAGGTCGACCACCAACCAGATCATACCTGGCTAGCAGGGTAACTTAGGATTTCATCCACGGGGTGGACTCACCTACCATGATGAACCACCGTTCATGCACCAGGTGGCTTGCTGGCTTGCTTGAATTTTAGACACATGAGAACTGCAATTTGATGTTGCGTATTTTCCCACCAATGTTGATTTCCAAAGCATGTTAGATGAAACCAGAGAGGTTGAGTCAATGTATATATTAATATAACATATATGTATTGTATAGATCCGCATGATTTATTGATTAACTTCCTGTTGTTAGATATGCTCAGATCATCTTGAGTTCTTATTGTGATAGTTCTGTTGGTTGACAGCTCATGAATATTGGCCACATCTAGAATAGAATGTTGCTTTAGTTTCTTTCCTATACCCTCATATTCTTTTTGTCAAGCTCCCTTCGTTGATACTTAAAATTCCCATTACCATCAAAAATTAGCTTTGAATCCCCCTTCAATTGCGATCCCGTCCCCGTCACTATTTACTCCTTGAGAGGATAATATGGATCGATGGTTGGAAAATCTAGTCTTGCATGAAGACCTACAAATGACTAAAAGTCAAGATTTGAATCCACTCAATCTGGGACAATGAATACAACTATGGGATTCAATCATGTTAACCATTGTGAACAATTGTGAATCATTGTCAACTATGGAATTCCCTAGTCATAAATCTGTTAACCGTTGTTAAGCATGGGATTCGTCCTAATTTCACCATGATCGAAGCCAGGAAGCTCTTCGCTGCTCCCTACCAGCCGCGGCCCTTCAGTTTCTCCGTGCGCTCGGCAACAGATCGCTGCGCCGAAGGGGTCGTGAGCATCGATGAAGATGGAGGAGCTCCAGTGTGGACTATGTGCGCTAGGAGATCTGAGCAGACCATGAAGTTTCCGGCATGGACGGAATCTGGTTGGGTTGATATGTAAGCCCAAAAAAAGATAGAACATGTGAATTCCGTTTCTAAGATAGAGGTACATTGCTGTTCTATGCATTTTTTTTGGGGGGTTACTATATCTATATGGGGTCATTGTGGTGATTAATGTGCCATAGCAGATCATGGAGCCTAGCAGATGGTAGTCATCTACCAACAAAAACTCCAAAAAGAAGCTGGTGTTTGATGATTATTATACATTATTATGGTATGTCAATGGTTCTACATTTGATTCTTTGTTTGGGATTATTTGATTGCATAGATGTGTGTTTCTTCTAAAAGCCCTTCATTTGGCTTGGCTTGTGAAATTAGGCTACACCTAAATGCCCTACGACTTTACACTCATTTTTCCTATGACATAGCAATCTTTGGGGTTAATTCCCCTCCAGACGCAGCCATTGAGGTTTGCCTTGAACGCATCGACCAGTGTCTCCTTCACGGGTGAATTGCATCTGCATGCGTGGTTGGCCGAGCGCTTTGAGGGAGCAACCAGCAACCTGTCCCTGGTCTCCCGGGCCCGACAGTTCCTAGCCTTGGGAGTGGGCCAGCAAGGAGCAGGAGATCTTAGGGCAAAACGAAAGGGGAATCCAAGTTGGACTGTGGCATTCAGTGCTTCGATGGAAGTTATATTTGACAAGATGCATCAAGATGCTATGTGGATCTATGTGGTATTTTGTGGTTTTGTGTGTGCTATTATATGATAATATGTATATATATATATTATATATATACATGTGTAACGATTATAAAGGGTTGGAACCGCTTGGCCAAATGTTGGCGGAATATATCCCATTTCCCATCAATTTAGATGCACATTTTTTTTTAAATCCCAACTGAGCAGCAACGCACCATTCTACTGGATCTCAATCTAATTTCCAAGACCACTAAGAGTTTATCTGATATACACTTATGATATGGTCTTGTTATGGAAATTAGTAATATATAGATATAGTAGAGATATGCTTATGATTAGATATACTAAGTCTATCAATTAGATGTACTAAGACCACTTATGATATGATTGATATGACTGATATGACTTATATATATATATATACATAAGACACAGAAGTGTATCAAAGAAGTCTATATAATACTGCTACTACATCATATTACACATATGATATATATATATATACATATGCACTGTTGTTATGTATATATTGTTCTTTATATGATTTGTGTATGTAAAGCCTTAAGCCGCTTTCCCACGCTAAGCCGCTTGGCTAACTTCGCTAGGTTCAGTTGCTTCATGGTGCTGCTCTGCAAAGTGATCTCTGGCGACGAGTTGGAGGTGTCCCATGCCGTGCTGCTGCAGAACAAGGACGAAGTGCAGATTCCCCTGGAGTCTCTTGGGAACTGGAGGGATAACTGGGGGCACGAGCCTGGTGAATGACTGGAAAGGACTGGACAATAAATGAGTTACCCTCTGGTAATTTAACATAGCTATTGAACATACCACATTTATAGTTGATTTACCTATTCAACATGGTGATTTTCTATAGCTATGTTAGTTTACCAGAGGGTAGCAAATTCTAGCAAGTAAATTGAGTTTGGTTTTTAATGTTTTCTAACTAAGAAAGAACATGCTTGAAGGGTATGAGTGGGTTTGATTAGCCATGAAACTCTTGGTAAATGGGAGATGATGCAGCCATAACAGGAATTCAGCAGCAAAAAAATGATATAAATTTAGTGGGTCAGCACTGGTGAAATGTATAGGTTGATTTGAGTTGTTATTGTTTTGACCAGAAGTGAAGGACTGTCATAACGCACTTGAAAAAAAACCGTGTGTTTTCGGTCTCTAAGGTTATCACCTCCTGAAACAAGCCATGGGGTACCAGGGTTGGTCAAACTCAGCACCAACCAAGTAGTTGGTGACCCAAATCTGACTGTCAGAAGCTCCTCCAGCAAATTTTTGGCCATATTCAAAATTGTTATTCAATCGAACTGAAACCTGTTGGATAGCGGCACATGGTGGCCAGTTGATTATTTTGTGGATGGTTTTGCATCGTTTTGCCATCTTAATTGCGTGCTGCATCTTGTTTCCCTTAAAAAAAACTATACCATGCAGCAACAATCACAGGACGGGGTCACCCAGTTATAAGTTGGTTCATAACCCCAAATGTGTTTTTTACATGTATAAAACAAATCATAACTCGCTTCATAACCCCATCTAAGTGGTTCCATCCACCAGACAATTCAACACTTGACGAAGAAAGCACCAGAAACCGAAGCGCCCAAGCGCCCCTGCCCCGAGGTTAGCGACGATCCCCACCCCCAAAGAGTTCAGAGATGCCATCGAGTCGCTCTCCCCCGAACAGCAGCAGTTTGCCAAGGCCGGGCGATGCTTTGCCAGTTGAGGTTTGTGCCAGTTGACTGTGCTGGGACCGAAATGGGAGGAAATTTGCTGATATGTTTGTGGAAATTTGCTGATTCTGACAATGAATCAAGGTATATCAAGGTAATCAACAGCAATTTTTGTTTGTTCAGGAATGGTGGATTTACCCGAGAGTCACCATTCAATTCAATGTGGAAACGCCTGCTCATGACGCCACTGGATGTTTGGGAACCCCGGGTTCATAAACTAACTTCGTTGATGAATTGGCGGGGGTACCACCAAAATAGTGCTATCCACTACCGAAATTGGACACACCCTTTTTTTGACTCTGGGGTTTCCCAATGAAATCCTGGGTTCGAATAGTGGAGGATCTCATTCCCGATGATATATCCCCATTCGTTTCCGAGTTGCCTGGGTAGCCTTGGGAGGCTTTTCGAGCCATGCAGCTGGAGAGCACACTCTGCGGCATCTTGGTGGTGCAGTTGAAACCGCAACTGGAGCGTCTCTTGAGGCTGCCTGTGGAGGCCTTGACCAAGGACCAGGGCGACCAGGGTGAATGGTGGGAAAGATGTGGGGAATCTGTGGTGAACATGTGGGTTAAAGATATTATGGGAAAATGTGAGAAAATTACAGGAAAATTTGGGACGATGAAGGGACACAAATAAATTCTAGCAGCAAGAATTCGGATGATGTAGATAACATGACGATATTACCCAGGAAGAATGGGATTCATATGGTGACTCAGCAATGCTCAGCAAATAGCTGACCATTTCTTTCGGGAGTTGTGACTTGAAGTATCACGCGGTTGACACATTTTTTGGGAGGGAGATGGGACACAATTTCAAATGTGCAATGAATTTGGGTAATTTTGAGTATTGCGCTGAATGATATCCAATTCGCTTCCTGAAGGTTTTCTGTACAGTTGTTTTTTCCCCTTGTTTTCCAACTCCTATGCGAAAATGACGACTGGGTGCCCGAATTGCGCTACATGGCTTCGCCATGTTGGTCATCGTCGCATCCTTGAAGTCGGGTCATCGCCAGGAGATAAAACTGACCCAAGATCTCCTGCAGCTCTTCATCAAGTATCAGATACCCAGTAGCTGGAGCTGAAAGCTGAAGTAGATGCCATGAATTTCGTACACGTTAAGTCGGTGTTTTCTCAAACATGGCCTGCTGGAACATATCCACACCGGTGATTCTGCTCGTTGTTTTCGGTCCGTGGATTTGTTTGCGATTTTGATGCAAGAATATGTCAGATGCCAAAAACATCTCGTTTAGATATTCGTTTAGAAGATGTATGAATTCGTTGGGGGGGGGGTAAGCTGCCTAGTTTGGGAGTCTACATCGGATTACAGCCTTAAGATTCCCTGACCAGTGACACAGTTACACTGTCTCTTGACGTGATTTGGTCAACAAAAAGTATACTATAGTTATACTGGTCAGTCCTTCTGAGTCTGAGTGATGAACGAAACAATTGAGATCCCTAGTTTTGCTGCTTCAAAAAAGTGTTTTCTACAAGAACACATATTCCTGTTTTGGTGCATCATTTCGCAACTCATATCAACTCCATAAACAAAGATGCAGACAAGTTTTTCAGATCCACTTCGAAAAAACAGTTGGGGTCAAAAAACGTTTGCCGGACTTTTTGAGCTGTGAGATATACCACACCTGGTTATTTGTTACATAGCCATGGTATAGATGGCCCATAGAAATAGGTGGTTTACCTATTAAAAATGGTGATGTTCACCATTTTTAATTGGTAAATCCACTATTTCTATGGCCATTTTCCATGGCTATGTCAGTCATAACCAGATGGTACCCTTATAACACCTATGAAGCCATGGGCATCGTCCTGAGGTGATCTGTTGGCCTTCAGCCCCACGGCGGAACCTGTGGGCGCCGTGGAGGCAGTCAGGGCCAAGGCGGAGGAGATGTGGCGTGCCTCGGCGGATGGTTTTTAAAGGCTCCGAAGGAGAAGCGAAAACCATAGGAAAATGGTGGTTTAATGGGATTTAATGGGATTTAATGGGATTTAATGGGATTTTAATGGGATTTAATGGGATTTAATGGGATATACCCTCCGGTTATGTCGAACATAGCTATTGAAAATGACCATAGAAATAGTGAGTTTTTACCCATAAAAAATGGTGATTTTCCATATTTACCAGAGGCTATTCTGTGATCAAACATGTGAAGCATTGCCGAAGCACAATGAGCAACATCCGCGGAAAAATCCGGAAATGACGGCCTTCATGTTCGGATCGTTGTTCAATTACCGGCTCTGTGTAAAAGTTGCCGATTTTGCCGGCGCGTAGGGGGGAATCTTGGAAGGTATACGGCTTTTCCATGCTTTTCCATTGAAAGAAATGGAGATTTTCTATACCCAGTGGTAGTTTGAAAAAACTATTTGGATCCATTTGGGATGATGATGGATGGTGGTTAACATCACTATGGAGGTTTTGGGATGATGTTGGGAGGGACAATTTTCTGCCAGATTTTTTCTCGTGTGGTGATGCTTGAGATCACGTACAAAAAAAATCAGAGATGTTCCGACGGATTTGTTTCATTCCGAATGAATAACTGGTTGGTGGTTTGGAACATGGCTTTTATAAATGCTTTTAAGACTTTCCATTCAGTTGGGAATGTCATCATCCCAACTGACGAACTCATATTTTTCAGAGGGGTTGAAACCACCAACCAGAAATGAATAACCACATGTTAATGAACAATGATACCCTTTGTTCACTTTGCAGTTTGCACTGGAAATCACCATGTATCATAGGTAACACATCGAGCTCAATGGTTCATTCTTGTCGGGTTCAGCTGAACACTGAGGGATGATAGACGCAGAGAAGCAGAAGGAGATCGAGGACAAGCGTCAGGCGGCGAGATTTGTCGCTTGACCAAAATTGGTTGGTTCGAAGCTGGACCCTGATGCTTTCACTAAGCAAAATGGACATTTTTTGAATCAGGGTACTGGCTTCAAAATTAAGACAACTTGCCCCAAGGTATGGGTCAAGCCAGGAACAGCTTCATGGACCTGAGTCATGGCTATCCTCCAGTTATCATCCATTGATGGGATTTTCCATGAAATAAACCATCCAGCTATTGGGGTACCTCGCTTTTAGGAAACCTCCAATTCATTTCATTAAATGTTATTATCATCATGGCGTTGCACATCTGGTTGGTGGTTTGGAACATTTGGATTATTTTTCCCATCATATTGGGAATGTCATCATCCCATTTGACGAACTCATATTTTTCAGAGGGGTCGGTCAACCACCAACCAGATCACATTTGGATTCTGCAATTCTGCAATGAGATTCAGCACTCGTACCTGCGTGACATTTCGCCCAAGTCTTAAGGGACGGCCCAAGTCGCCAAACGTTGCACGGATGAGTTCCTGGGATTTCCTGGGCACCACAAGTTGGTCGTGAAGTGAATCGGACTTTTATTTCAAAAAACATCTTGATCTTCCCCCAAACAAGTGCGAAAACGGCGAAAAAAAACCCGGGTCCCCGAGGCCGCAGGGATGCTACGGCCGATGGGATGGAATGACCAAGAGGACCTGGAGAAGGTCCTGGAGACTGGGTGGTTTGGTGGGAATTTCATGGGAATTTCTCGGAATTTCATGGGATTTCTCGGAATTTCATGGGATTTCAATGGCATTGAAAGGGGATTTAGTGAGATTGAATGGGATAGTCACCATGGGATGACCTACTTCAGAAACCCCAAAAAAGGCTGAGCCTGGCGAAATTCCCAAAGATGATTTAGATAGATTTATGATTCATGAATCATGATGATGAGTATGAATTTAGATGATTTCAAAGATGCAGAATCTTGATGATTCATGTACACTGGTGCGCCATGGAGATTTAGATAGATTTAGCACATGTCAATGCACATGTCAATGCGGAATTCATTCTCAAGAAATCTCAACAACACAGCAGAAGTCTGTGCCAGCCCCATTCTGTGTTCATCTGTGTTGAGAATTGCAACATGCCACATTGTTAATTCGGTGTTTCATGGTGTTTCCAAATGTTTCCAATATAAATACTGTAAGGATCTCCAGCATCCACCAGTTGATTTTCAGTTTCAGGTATACCATGGTTTTTCCCAATTCGCTGTTTAACGGACGCAACCAATTCCGCGTGCCGATGTCCAGCTCGGAGCTCGCAGACCGTGACATCTTTGATCGAGGCTCGGGAGATAAACACCGCAGACCGTTGCTGGAACGGACTGCCCAGTTGATGATGAGACAAACAGAAACAGCTGGCAATCGAAATCGGTGACTGCCCTGGAATCCTGGAAGAGCTGCTGCGGCTCCCGTGCAAGCCGAACATGGCAGATGCCCCTCTTCACGTTGCGAGATGGGTCATGTTGAAGCATTGCAGCTGTTACTTGAAGCAGGCGCTGATGCAGAAGCGCAAGATCGGAATGGGCTGACGCCACTGCATTGCGCAGTTGAGAATGGACAGCCCAAATCGATGCAACTGTTGCTTGAAGCAGGCCCTGACAAAGAAGCGCAGAACAGGCAAGGCTATACCTCATTGCATGCCACAGCTTGCAATGGGGACGCGGAAGCGATGCAGTTATTGCTGGAAGCTGGAGCCGACAAAGATGACAAAGATCACAACCATGGTGAGGACGCCACACCACTATTCTTGGCGGCAGCCTTTGGACATGCTGCGTCCGCCTTCTGCTGCCGGAGCTGAGATTTTGATGGCACTCATATGACTCATACCTTGTTGTTTGGGACAACAGCATTGGCAGCAAAAAATGACTGTGTTGAAGCTGTCCAGCTCTTGCTGGAGGCTGGGGTCAACAAGGACCAGACAACGGATAACGGCGTGATAACGGTCTGACTGCTGGAATTTCTGTGCCGCTTCCTGGGGAAGTGCCGGAACTCTGCGCTTGCTGCAGGCCCGAGCGGATGGTAATTTGGCCACGAAACGGGCAGACGCCGTTGTTCGTGGCAGCTGACCGAGGTCATCTTGAGGTTGTGCGGCTGCTCATCGAGGCCGACGTTGACTTTGACCGGGCCGATCACAATTTCGTAAGGCTTGTAGACATCGCAACCAGGAAACAGCATTTCGAAGTGGCTCTGTTGCTAGTGAATGCTGCCAATCTCAAGCCCAGGATCGACCAAAGAGTCGGCGCAAGAGTTGATTAAAATATATTAAAAGATCTGCATGGTTCTTCCTGGATGCCTTGTCAGGACCAAACATATTTGAGATATTTTGAGACCCCAGAAAGGTTGTTTTTCTCTCCAGCATAGTCACCTTTTGCTGGAGGAAGCAAGATGCTTCGATCAACATCAATCAACATCTGTGGTTTTGTCGGCCTGTTTTTTTTTTATGAACGTGGATGAGTTCATCCCGATATGATAAATCTACAACAGTGGATTTCTAGCTTGAAAGGCAATGCGAATCTACAACAGCATCCTTAACTGAAAAAAGTCCCTTAAGTTTTAAGATTTGGTCACCATCTCACATCGTTCTCAATGCCTTTAAGCATTTTGCACCTGGCTCTGTTTAACCAGATGATCCCAATATATCCCAATGACCCAATGATTTTTTGTTGGTCCTTTGTCCACTGTCGGCCAAAAACCATTTAAAGAGACATCGTTTTGCCATAGACGTCATAGATATAGTCATAGTGCCTGTTGCTGGCCGAGTCATTTTTTTCAGCCTGAACTCGACCCTTTTCGGAACATGGAGAAGCCATGATCCACCTTGATCAGGCGCGCCAGAAAGTGTCAAGCTTGAAGTGTATCAGCTCGGACATTGCGGAGGTCAAAGACGCTCGGGCATTGGTGGATGAATGTGGCGAACATGGTCATGAATGACAGTTTGCGAATGGGAAAATCACAATTTTTTCATCGATTTTAAGATATGTTAAATCTACAAATGTGTATGTTAAATTGTCGGATGATTGATGTTGGCCTCTGATTGGTGTGGCCCCCCCCCACTCTCAAACTAATTTAGTATACTCTATAGCTCGCAGTTTTTTTGGGCACCCCTCAACAAATTTTAGGATATTCAACTTAAGAAAGGATTTCAATTGAAATCAATTTACTTTCAATTGAAATCAATTTACTTTCAATTGAAATCAATTTACTTTCAATTGAAATCAATTTACTTTCAACTGAAATCAATTTACTTTCAATTGAAATCAATTTACTTTCAATTGATTTCAATTTACTTTCAATTGATGTCAATTTACTTTCAATTGATGTCAATTTACTTTCAATTGAAATCAATTTACTTTCAATTGAAATCAATTTACTTTCAATTGAAATCAATTTAATTTCAATTGGTTTCAATTTACTTTCAATTGATTTCAATTTATTTTCAATTGATTTCAATTTACTTTCAATTGATTTCAAAGTAAAGGGATCAGCATTACCCAAAGAAAGGTGGAGAAAGGGTTTTGCTTTTTTTCACTCCCAAAAGTTGTTGTGCACAATAGGGTACCATCCAAACAATTATATTATTGAGGATCTGAGCCATTCATGGGGTACCACCTTCAAAAATTGTCTGGGTGCTGTTTTTTGAAAAGGGTTTAATAAGGCATCTAATTATTGGGAAAACCTTGCATTTTAAAGCTTTAACATAAATATGGCTTTCTAAAGTAAATGGACCAGCTTTACTCAAAGAAAGGTGGAGAAAGGGTTGTGTTTTTTTTTTCACTCCCAAAAGTTGTTGTGCAGAATAGGGTACCATCCAAACAATTATATTATTGAGGATCTGAGCCATTGATGGGGTACCACCTTGAAAAAATGCCTGGATGCTGTTTGTTAATAAGGGTTTAATAAGGCATCTAATTATTTGGAAAAATTGTTAAACATTAAAAAAATCTCACAAATTAGGCTCCCCCCCACAAAAAGCAAGATACTGAATTAGAAAGCAAACATCTCTCACAATAGGGTACCATGACGCTAATCGAAGGGTACCATTATTGACCATTGTTTTTTTTGGTTGACCAAACAATCGGAGATTGCGAAATTGTTCAGCAGCCTGGATGATTTAAGCCATCAAAAATCTTGATTTGAACCACAGATTTGGCGACCAATGGACCCACGACAGCGACAATTGCATGACTTTCACTGGGGACAATTGGGGTTTCCAGAAATGGTGGATAGGTTTTGGTGGCGTTTCGCGACTTTCTATTAACCTAGCCTTGCCCATCTTCCAACTCATGTATCTATTCCCCGAAATCATAGTTTATGCCACCTTTTGCTTTTGGGGACTTGTTGAAAAGATGATTTTGACCATTTTTGATTGGATATTGTTAAAGTGTGTATCCCCCCCTATGGTTTTTCATTTTATGAGATGGTTGGTGGCTTTAAAATGGTTTGGGTTTGATGAGTTGGAAGATGGGCAAGGCCTATCCTAACTATGTTTAACGACATGATTGTGGATGTGGGTAAATGGCTTACTGCGTATAGTTGGTCGTTGAAGACTTCTGGGCTCGGGATGAAGCACCTGCAGGATACGATGAACCGCAATCTGGATGCCATGCTCACGCGCGGTGAGTCACTGGAGGCAATGATGCAGAAGTCCAAGGATTTGTGGCTCGGTGTGGTGAACAATGACCCTTGCGTCGCAATTCGGAATGATTGGGAATTGGATTTGGGAACCTTTACCCAAAATGGCCAGGCTTTTCTGGTCAGTGAATGATTATTTTTTGTCCAGATAGGAAAGCAACGTCTGACAAAAGTATATAGTTGAATTGTGAATATTCTAGTATATTCGAGTACCTACTTCGCCACATTTTCTTATATACTGGCTGGTGGTTTGGAACATTTTTCATTTTCCCATCATATTGGGAACGTCATCATCCCAACTGACGAACTCATATTTTTCAGAGGGGTAGGTTGGCCCCCACCAACCAGATATAGTTGGTTTATGGGGATAATCCTCCACTGCTTCTCACCTTTGTACATTAAAGCACAGCCGATGCCAAGGAGATCAGCAAATTCCATCGATGGGATGGCAAGATAAAGGGGATATTTTTAGGGTGAATCATGGCACAGTGGTGACCATGTCTCATGGCCATTTTTTGCAATGATGTTTGAAACAAAGAGATACATGCACGATTCATAGTATATATACATATATATATACATACACATATATATGTATATATATATATACATATATATACATATATATACATATATATATGTATATGTATATGTATATGTATATGTATATGTATATGTGTATGTATGTATGTATGTATGTATGTATGTATGTATGTATGTATGTATGTATGTATGTATGTATGTATGTATGTATGTATGTATGTATGTATGTATGTATGTATGTATGTATGTATGTATGTATGTATGTATGTATGTATGTATGTATGTATGTATGTATGTATGTATGTATGTATGTATGTATGTATGTATGTATGTATGTATGTATGTATGTATGTATGTATGTATGTATGTATGTATGTATGTATGTATGTATGTATGTATGTATGTATGTATGTATGTATGTATGTATGTATGTATGTATGTATGTATGTATGTATGTATGTATGTATGTATGTATGTATGTATGTATATTTATGTTATATGTTTATATATATATATATATGTGACCATATATTTGATATATGTAATGTGGATATCATATATAATTATGTTATACATGGATATAAAACCATTAGGGTTAATCAATACCGTTGGGCATTAGGTGTCTACTCGAGAGAATAATCACCTTGAGATTATGTATAAGAGTCCATTTGTGGATGTGTTCATAGCGCCCTGCTAAATGGGACCCCAAAGCGATTACTTGTGTCCAATACTGAGCTAGGATATTCAATCATTCGAGCAAGTTGGAGATGTTTACCTTTGTCCTTGACATGCCGATATGGATGTCTATATCTAACAAGTCGTTGTTTTTTTTTGGGAGTTTATTTTATATATATATATATTTATATATATATATTGACATGTATAAATGCAATATACACACAGATAGTAGCCTCCAAAAAATAGAACAATGATTTACCACGATTTTCCTAGCTTTTTTCAGGCAATCGGGCTGTGCATCATCCCAGGTCCACCAGTTCGGTGCAGTTCTACAAGTCGGCGAAGCGCAGCAATGCCATTGGACTGTTCGCTTCGAGGCTTGGATGCCAGTGGGGCCACCAAAGGATAGCTACCCTCTGGTCATTTGTAACAGAACTATGGAAAATCAACACTTTTCATAGGTTAAACCATCTATTTCTATGGGCCATGTTCCATAGCTATGTTAGTTTACCAAAGGGTAAGTTGGTGAAGATATTTCCAATAACTCTGGTGTATGGTGTATGATACTTATAACATCTTATAACTGTTATACATGGTATTCTATAGTATTGATGGGATTTATAAACCAACAAACAATTTGCTGCGGGGCCCTAGATTGGGGGATATGGTGATATAGTTGATAAATGATGGTTGATATAGACGATTTAACTGACTAACCATAATTCTGGGTAAATTATGGTGACCAGAGCCATGACCAAGCACCATAGATTCTTAGATGATCGTTTTGCTGAACAACTTCCATTCTTGTCAAAGCTCCAATGTATGACCTTTTTTTTAAAGTCAACATTCTTCAAAATCAAACATGACAAATCCAAGGGTTGGTGGTTGACCCCGATGTTTGTTATCCCCTCCCCTCAGCATTAAATACCCCATGATTATAACCACAATAAGTTGGGATAATTGTTGTAATTATGACACTATTCACTTTCAATGATATCCACTCATGAACTGGAACTTAAACCCACCCACATTCTGAAAGCAAGTCAAATTCTTGTTCGGAAACTCATGTAGAAAAACTGTCACAAAGCAGGCTTTGATTCAACAGAATATGTGATTACCTTAAGTTGAGGTAAGTGATAGCCCCTTTTCTTGTAAGTTACCCTCCTGTAAATCATCTTCCGACTGGGAAACCATGGGTTTTCCATAAAATCCCATTCAACCTTCATTCAACCACAATTAAACCCCTGATTTTTTCACCGTACCACCATGACCACCCCCCCAAACCAACGCCCCTTGAACCTTGCGCAAGGAGGGGAGCGCCTTCACAGCCAGCGGCGCAGACAATGACAAAGAAGGAGCCGATGATATGGGACATCCGTGGAATTCTGTGGATATATGAAATATATATATATATATCCCATATGCTCCATGTATGGTATAATTACCTACATTTGGGTGATTTTTAGGGTAAATGTTGGTAAATATTCCATACATGGAGCATATGGGTATGTATATATATATATATGATAGTTCTGACATGTTATAGCTGATAAATGGTGGATGATCTTGGATTTGCGGTTTGCAGATGCTTTGCTGAATTTGTTCAATGCGAAAATACCCACTGGGGAGTCTATATGGGGAATATTTGTTTTTGGGGGTTCCGTGGTCAAATTCCAAGACTAGTTGGTGGTTTGGAACATTTTTTATTTTTCCATATATTTGGAAGAATAATCCCAACTGAATAAGTTTTTTCAGAGGGCTAGGTATACCACCAATTGTTTATTCTTTTCCCCAGATCCCCAGATCTTGCGGATACTTCCAGGACCGTGTGGACCGTGCGAGCCATTCCAGTCGCAGCAGCAGCACCATCAGCCCCTCACCCGCCATGGCGCTGGCAGAGCCAGCACCGGCGCCGCCCTTCGCGCCACCGGCGCGGCCGGCGGGACCGCAGGGAGTGGCCACGGGGGACTGGGACGTAACGCAGGTGCCCAAGCAGCTGGATGAAGCGCTGGAAAAGGTGGATGCTGTGAGACCTACGAAACTTGGTTAGGTGAACATATTTATATGGCAGAAACCACCTATTGTATAATATTGTATATATATACATACGGTGTATATATATATATATGTAGTGTATATATATAACTATAATTACATGTATAGATTTATTTATCTTAGATATTTGTTGATTTGTGTAGTTATGAATGTAGTTATATGACAAGAAAAACATGTCATGGGAGTTCCGGGATTCAACCACCCCCCGCGAAGTTCAGCCTCCCTTGAGTTTCTTTCTATACACCACCAACAACCCCTGACGGAGTACGGAGCATCGAATTTTTGGGAGGTCACCTTTAGGGAGGTCCAAGATTCACCAGACGATTCAATGCTCATCCATTAAATTTCCGTGATGTTCCAGTCCAGCTGATTCAATGCTCAGTAACTCAGGATCATCACGGCCGGGGAAGTCTGGACCAAACGATCGCAGCCCGAATTCTTAGCAGCTCAGAAGACGGAGAAACTGCAGAAAGACCAGATCAAGCAGGACCGGCTCCGGCTCCAAGGGGCTTCCGGCTTTAACTGATGAAGGTTGATAGAGAGGTTTCATATGGAGGGTGTGACACGGTGTGACATCGGGTCCCATTCATGGATGAGTTTGGGAGAATATTTATCAACCACCCAGTCATAGTTCATATAGATTCAATATAGATGATTGTGTATATATATAATAATAATATATATATATATATATCGGTTTAACAAATAGAGGCCTGGCTACCCATGATCAGCCCTGTTTAACAAGCAATCAACAAATGATGGTAAATGGTGCCTTGTATACCAGACTGCTCTATGTGTTGGAATTGTGTTGGAATTGTGTTGGAATTGTGTTGGTATGTATGTATATATATATAGATAAACCAGTTTCTGTCATGTGCACTAGGTTTACTCCTCAAATCAAGTCAAATAAATATATATGTATATAATATATATAATAATATATTTAAATATAATATATACTGCTTAATTTCACGTTGTTGCTCTGAAACGAATCCTGAGCCAATGGTCCAATGGTTAACTGCTGTTTTTACTCCCAGGATTTCCGTCTGAAGAGGATACTGTATAAATGTGTTAAAATCACCACAGCATGTATTCATCCCATGTAATTATTCACAATACTAAATTTGGGAGATTTGGCTAATTGGCAGATTTTGATATCATTGCACCATTTATAAGATATTTTCCCATTCCGATCCCCCTAATATTACCGTAAACACCCCTATTTCATGGTCCCAAATATTTTTAATCCCCTATATCCACCATGGTTCCGGGGGGTGTTTAAGGGCTGAACGGGAATGGGATTCATCTTTGACGATAGTTGGTAGATCCCTGCAGTTGTATCCAATGTTTCAATAGTTGCGGGATGGGATTATATATGGTACCATAGCCATAGCATTCATTGGATAAACAAATACTTGTCCATAGATGGTTGACATGGTGTCCAAATGCGTCCCACCGACAAGTTTGGCAGTCGCCATCTATCTACCCTTGGCTGTCTCCACATAAAACCCTTGGTCAGGAAGTTTCTGCTTTCACTAGCGCAATTGCGACGTAGAATCCAATGTTGGTTTTTCATCCCTGCTGAAAAAGTTGTACAAACCCTGCCAAAATACATCAAAAGCGAGCTTGCAGAAACAATGGGTAGACGCGTGGCCGAAGCACCAAAAAGCTGTTGAGATCCTCAATGACGACGGTGTCAACATCTAAAACCCAAGCCTTGCCCCCGAAGTGAAAACGTATCCCCTTTGCCTTGCTGGCGCATAAAAAAAGGGCCGGTGTTGCCCGAGGATGCCATCTTACAAGAGCTGTTCTATGGCATAAAAATTATACCTGGCAAAAAGAGAAGAAAACCCCCAAAAAAACAAGACAACATGAAATGACCGAAAGCCACACATGCACTGCAAGAGCCTCTGGCTAGTTGCACTTGAAATGCCTAGTGAAATAGGTCAGAGCTAATTCTAACACCCTCTTGACAAGCTTGAGGAAAACTCGTAAATATAATTAATAACTAATTCCATTAGTTTGGCGTTTCCAATCTGCTTCCATTCACAGCGGAGCTTCGTTCAGTTGATCTTAGCGTAGTTCCAGGATGTCTGCGGAAGGGTGAAACAAGAATAAACCATCCCCCAAATCACCATAAATAGGTGCTATAAACCATTCCCAGATTAGTTTCCCCGGAAAAAATCCAGGAAAAGGACTCGGCCTTCGAACTCCTCGACGCTCTCACGAAGTCGGGCGCTCTAGCCCTCAGCCACGCCACGCTGCATGTGGTGCTGTGCGCCAGCCAGTGCTTCGAGGCTCTGGTTGAAATAGCCATGGGAGTATCATCATGGATCTTATATGGGTCTTATATGGATATTATATGGATTGGTTTAGCCACTTGATGAATTTGTTCAATTATATAATTGTTTTTTTGACTATATCCTTGCTTGAGCCACTGTGCCACTTGCTTGGTTAAGTTGTTGGGAGGTATATGGGAGTTATCAAGGTATTTAAACACGAACAATGGAGATATAACCATGATACCACGGAAAAAGTATGGTTGTTGATCGTGATTGGTTATAAGGAGTTATACTACCCCATCAATCAATCAACTACCTGGGAATTATTAGAGTTGGTTTACCTTAAGCTTTCCCTTACAAAGCTACGTATTCTCCCCTGCTTTATTGGAATGATGATAAGACATAGTTTTCACGGGAAACCTTTGGTCCAGTTTTTCTTTTTGGGGCCTTGGATGCCTTGGATATTGGTTATCCCATAGGAGTCAACCTTGTGGATCTTTTAAAACATTTTGGGCGGACCGATTTGGGGAAGATAATCTTCGGGAGATATTTTTAGGGATATTTTTGCATATACAAAATTTGATATCAAGAGATATTTCAGCAAGAATATTATATTTATTTTAGGGATGAATTCCGGTAATACATGGGCTTGTCGTTTTTTGTTTACAAAGTAACTTGCGAACAGTATGGGTCAAACATGGGGTAGAAACGGACCTACAAAATTGGTGGCTTTTAGTATTTAAACATCCGATGGGGGCTGATAATTGCCTCAGGATTGGGGTGACATTGAAGGTTAACTGGCTGAAAATTGGATTCGAAGATGGGGAGGTGGCCCAACAATACAGAACTATGGGACTGCTTGGCCAACTTGTTTTCACAAGCTAACAACAGAGAATTCAAGGGGCAATTGTCATTTTGCTGAGAAGGAGAATGTGAATCCCATCGAGCAGTTGGAACGCTCCAGTCTTCTGATGGCTTCAACGATACACCAGGCACCACTGCAGACATTGCTCCAACCACCCGCGGCGCAACGCTTAGGTCTTGCCGGCCTCGCCTCATCCGAAGCTCTGGAAGGAGGGGATCCGGCGGCCGCTGCGCCGTGATGCTCAAAGTTTTTGGGGTCAGTGGAATGATGGGCTCCACTTCCAGTTTTAGGTAGTTATACCCTCTGGTAATTTAACATGGCTATGGAAAATCACCATTTTTGATGGGAAAATCCACTATTTCTATGGCCATTTTCAATAGCAAACTGTTAGTTTACCAGAGGGTATATCCCAAAATCTACCCCAACAACAACTCTACCACAACTATGGTTAGACAATGTTGGACACATAAACCCAGCAATACGCTGTTCGGGAGCTCATCATTGTAGCTGCGCCCCAGCCGCGGCCCAGTGAGCAAATTGTACAGTTCGCAGCGCTGGGTTCCAAAATGGCACCCTTTGGGGAAGCCGCCCCGGCTGGATGAAACCGGTTGGTAGGGTCACAACATCTCGCAGCCCAAATTTGGGAATGTTGAGGGATGATTTTTTTTGGCCCAAGCAACAAAAATACTGCATGTAGTTCCAAATTGACGTGGATGTCTTTTCAATGTTCACTTTTTTGATGCACTACATACCTGAAATTTTGTGCTAACTCTTCTAGGCTCGTGGTTTCATGTTTGTTCCATTGTCCTTTTTGATGTTCAACCATATTTGGGATGCTGATCCCCAATGACGAATCTGGGGTGCAAGCCACCAGTCGGACAAGTAGTAATGAATAAGGGCATGGTGGAGAGTGATTTGACCATGAAAGACGATGTTTGAAACACCAGAAATGAACATGTTCATCAACTGATGTACCGGCCGACCCTGAATTTACATCAGTTTACCCATCAAAACCCCCGTGTCCCTAGACCCTCAGGGTAGTATTTGACCACCTTCATATTCGTACTGATCTATGCTTACTTTTATTGGGTTTTTCATGAGGGTCTATACGCATAGATAATTCATAATTATATACAGGTATATATATGGTAAGTATATCCCCATCCCCAATCACCCCACTAATGCTGGCTATATCCCCATTATACCCAGGATATATCTTCTATCACCACCACAAAAAAAATGAATCCCCACATGTTCGCTGCAACCCCTAGGTTTGCCCGCGGCAAACCCTGCGCAGGGTTTAAGTTTTTTACTTTCCAAACCAACAAACACCAAAACCCTAAGACCTAAAACCCTAAAACCTAAAACCCTAAACCCTAAATTAAAACACTAAATCCTGAAAACTTAAAGTCAAAATCACTACGTATATCCAGTGTTTTCATTCATCCTCTGGTGATAAGTATATCATAGTATATCATATTGTTTGGATGTGTTGTTTTTTCGTGTGGGCGTTCGCCCGGTTTTTTTTTTGGGCACCATGGTTTTCACGAGGTTTGGAGGATCGAACGACCAGGTCAAGGTGTGGAAGCTGGTTGATGGGGGCTTGACTCGGTGAATGACAAAGAATGAGAATTGGGGAAAAAATTGGGGAAAACATGGTGATTTCACACTGGAAAATGAGGGAAGATGCGGATTCAACAAAGATGTGGATTCGTGGCTGATTTATACCAAGTAAGTTGGCTTGTAACTAAGCCAGCTGTTGAACTCATGGTGGCTACATCCATGGTTTGAGGGGATTCTGAGCCAACTTACAGCTGGGTGGCGTTTTCTAGTATCAGAGGGTTCAATCACCATCGTCGGGACAAACATGGCTTTGGTCATGGTATACTGTTGGAGTTGATTATCCGTAATTCAAGGTCCAACCCCTCATCATGCTAGGAGCCTTAGTGCTGTCAGGATCTGATTGGCTCTTGAGAGGATGATGAAGCCACAAAAAATTGGAGGACGTCAGTTATGTCCATTTTTTCTTATAGGAAATAAAGCCAGTAACTCACATCAAAAAAGCATATTAATTATATTAACATTACATATTATTTTACCAACATTTTTTAGGGCGCAGAAGTCCAGATCCTGATCGTTTTCTTTTTGTGTTGTCCTCCAGAACTGCTTTGCCTCATCCAACATGTAATGTTTGTTTGATTGGGATAATTACCCTCTTGTCAATGGGCAAAGATAGAGTTCTACATCTATCATGACTCTGTGGTAACAAGATCTTCGGTAAACATCACCAGGAAATGTCGAGCTATCCAGATTTGTTGGCAAACCAAGGGGTCTATGTTCCATTTTTTCTTCTTGGATATGTATCCCACTTGGAAAAGGGACATGGTTTCAATGTTGAAGAACAAAATCTATGACTGGGGGTTTCTCCCATATATCCACTTCCTGTTCTCAGGATTCGGAATTGCGCCCTAAATTTATACACATGCATTCCAATTGGTAAGGACTTTGTACATGTTTTTTCATTAAGATTCCATCAAATCCATTCAAATCCCATATATACACTCGCAAAAAAAAAAACATGAGCATTCCATGGAAATTCCATTCAACTTCCAAATTCCATTCACATCCGAAAAAAAAACATCAACAAATATCGTAACACATATCCACATTATAACCATCATTAACCCATCAAAAATCCCATGATCCACAAAATTCTTGGCTCCCCATGTCCTCAGCCCAGGCACTGTTGCAGCAGCTCTCAGATCTCGCCGTCACCAGGGACATAGCGACTCGGAGAGTGGAGCTTTTCGGGAGAAAACATGGTGCATTTATGGGATTTGATGGGACTTAGGATGATTTAATGAGGTTTAGATGGTTTTAGGGTAATTTCATGGGGATTTATTGGGGGTTTCTTGGGATACAATGGAATTTTATATGTTTTTTTGGGAATCTATGGAGATAAAGTGGGGTTTTATTTGGATACAGTATAACGTTTTATGGGGATACAGGGGATACAACGGTTCGTTATGGGGATGTAATGTGATTTTGCGGTAACCGGGAGCTAATAGATCTAATAGTGGAGTTAATAGGACTATGATTGGATTAGTCAGTGGGTCAATCTGGGTTGATTCATGTGGATTGAGAATGGTCCTGTGGTCAACAACGGATATGTATATATATACACACTGTAATAATATGTATATATATATTATACATATATAATCAGTGATGGCAATGGATCATGGGATACTAGAAAATTTCTGGGATAGCCGCTAGGTGACATGTTAAACATGGGGCTGGAAAATGACCGAACGATTTTCCTCTGCCATGACTAGCGGAGAGTATCAAGGTCGTTGAAACACATCAGGAACTTTGGGGTGGAAGTAAACATATAGCCTCTGGTAAACTAACATAACTATGGAACATTGATTTTTCATGGATAAATCAACTATTTCTATGGCCATGTTCAATAGCTATTTTGACATAACCAGAGGGTAAGTCATATAAGCAACAATTTATGGGATTTACCATCTGGAAAACCCAGCCGGCCCAACTATTTGTCGCTCAGTTTCAGAGACGCAACTAGAATCACCATGGTGTGCAACGGTCAGCCAACTGGCCAACTGAAGGCGATCGAATAGATCTAGTTGGCCAAAGGTGATTCAGCCATAGGAATTGTTTTTCTATCCCCTGCTCGTGAAGATCCACAAAAGGAATGGCACCTGCTCGTAAATGAACGGCATCCACACAGTTTTGAGTAGCTCTGACCCTACGTAGGGGTCCCAAACAAGACAAACAAGTCACTGTATATGTCCTTGACGCCGATCGGCTTTTCCATCTTCTTTTACGTTTCTGTTGTTGGGTATGGCTCAAAATTCTTACCCCAAAAAAGTTTGGATGGTTTGATATGCAAAAAATGGCCAACAATTCCATTTTAACGAAGAATAGCAAATCATCAGACCATTTTGGGATGTCAAAAATTGGAATGCTATCCCAACAAATTGGCAGTTTCAATAGAGAAAGTGAGGTTTTAACCCCGCAACTTGGGTAGTTTTCCTGTTGTCCCCCGGCTTTTTCGTCACGTTGACTCAGTTCGCACCAGGCATGCTTGCTGATCCATGAGGATAGCTTGGGCTCGGGAGCGCAGATCTTCGACCCTTTTTGGCTGATGAGGAAGGTCAACCGCGGGCAGCTCCAAAGAGGTTCTGAAAAATGATATGCCCTCTGGTAACCTAACAGTTCGATATGGAATCCACCATTTGCAGATCATTTTCCTAAGCAAAACATGGGTTTTCCACATCTTTTTGTGACGTTTACCCTACAAATACCCTCTGGTAATCGAACCTGGCTGGAAAGTCCCTGGTAATAAATGGAGGTGTCTTATGGGAAAATCATCGCAGTTTTTTCGAGAGGTTTCCACATTTGATGACCGGAGGCATCGCATGTAACCTCCAAAGTTCGACTGCATATAGCTACTGGCTGGCTGGATCCAACCACTGAGAAGCTACTTAAGCCCTACATGTTACACTCCAATTGTTTTCTAAGGAGCTCAGAAAGGCTCATTGGATACATAGGCAAATCATCCTGTAAAGCAACCACGAAAAAGATAGAACATCAAATTACCGTTGAGTGGGATTTTGCTTTTCTATTTTTTTTGGGGCTCGCTATTAATATAAATATATAAAACAACAAATAAATAGATACATAAGTGAATAAAATAAATGAATGAACTAATAAATAGATATATATATATATATATCACGCTTTGTATACACACATGGTCCTGAATAACCATTACCAATATACACCATGTCAACACATATCTTCAAACATATAGTTAGCTAGCAAGCTAAATAGATAGATCGACAATAAGAGACATACATTTACTATATAAAATTATATATAGTACATAGATAGATGGATTGATGCATGGATAGATCGATGGATAGATAGATTAGATAGATTGGATAGATTAGATTAGATAGATTAGATAGATTCGATAGATTCGATAGATTAGATAGATTAGATAAGATAGTTTAGATTATATAGGTTAGACTAGATAGTTTGGATAGATTAGATGGATAGATAGATAGACCGATAGACCGATAGATCGATAGATAGATAGATAGATAGATAGACAGATAGATAGATAGATTAGATAGATTAGATAGATTAGATAGATTAGGTAGATTAGATAGATTAGATAGATAAGATAGGTAAGATAGATAAGATAGATAAGATAGATAAGATAGATAAGATAGATAAGATAGATAAGATAGATAGATAGATAGATAGATAGATAGGTAGATAGATAAATAGAT